GTTTCTTCGGCTGTGATTGATTTTTGGCAGGCTGCGAAATGTGCCATTTTCGTCAGCCGATCGACGACGACCAGGATCGTGTCGTTCCCACTTGCTCCGGCCGGTAACCCCGTGACGAAGTCCATCGTCACCTGCTGCCAAGCACGCTCTGGGGGTGGTATCGGCTGCAACTGTCCTGCCGGCCGCTTCCGTGATGATTTCATGAGTTGGCAGGTGGGGCATGGTGCCACGTGTCGCTACACGTCGGTCAGCATTCCGGGCCAGCAATAATACCGCTGCAGCTGCTGCTGTGTTTTTTCTACTCCGAAATGGCCTGAGGTGACTGCGTCGTGTGCCTCTTGTAGCAATAATTCCCGTAGTAGCGTGTAACCCGGTACCCAGATTCGATCGGTGCCGGCTTACGTAATAGACTCCTTTTGCTGCTGCGAACTGCTGCGAATTTCCTCCTGTGAAGAATGGGTCGGTCTGATAGCCGTGGGTAAATAGTCGTGTCAGTAGTGGGCTGGTCTGGGCGAGTAGTAAAGCGTGGATTTGGGCTGTGGGGTGGGTTAGTGCGTCGGCGATGTTTGATGCCCCTATTTGTAGGTGACCGTGTAGTGAAAATTTGACTCGAGGTAGTCAAGCCAGCGAATGTGTCGTGGGTTGAGGTGGGGCTGTGTGCGAAGGTACTGTAGTGATTTATGGTATGTCCGTACTGTCACGTCTGCGCCGGTCAAGTAACAGCGCCACACTTTGAACGCATGCACGATCGCAAGCATTTCGCAATCGTGTATCGGGTAATTTTTCTCGGGTGGATGCAGTTTTCGTGACTCGCATGCGATGGGTTGTAAACCGTTGCCAAAATCCTGTAGCAGTACGGCTCCAATGGCGATGTCGCTTGCATCGGTAACCACTTCAAATGGGCGGTGTGGGTCGTCGATGCGTAGGACGGGCGGTGAACAGAGAACATTTTTCAAGGCAGAGAAGGCAGCATGCTCTTTCCCCCCCTACGTAAAAGTGACCCCCTTCCGTAGTAAGTCCGTCAGCGGGGCAGTTAAGCGTGCCATGTCGGGGACGAACCGACGTACATAATTAACGAACCCTAAAAAACTCTGCAACTCCGTCATGTTCGTCGGGGGTGCCACGCTTTTACCGTGTCCAGCTTCTTTGGGTCGATTTCAACTCCAGCCTCCGAAATAACGTGTCCCAAAAATTCTAACTTGTCCTGGAAGAACTCGCACTTGGAACCCTTGGTCAGTAGTATGTGCTTGTCTAAAACTGTAAGTACTGCTTCTAAATTGGCTAAGTGCTGCTGCTTATCACGGCTGTAGACGAGGATGTCGTCGAGGTAAATGATCACGCATTTATCTAAAAGTGGCCTAAATGCCTCGTTCATGGTCATCTGGAATGTTGCCGGTGCGTTGGTCAGCCCGAAAGGCATCACCGTGTACTCGAATGTCCCGTACCTAGTCCTAAATGCTGTCTTGGCACAGTCCGATGGTTCAACCCGAATCTGATGGTAACATCCCCGTAAATCGATTTTCGAAAAGACCCGTGCTGTTTGCAGTTGATCTATCAGTTCGTCGATGTGGGGAATTGTGTATCGCGACTTTACTGTAACCCTGTTCAGTGCCCTGTAATCGATGCACATACGAAACCCTCCGTCCTTTTTTAGTGTGAAGAGGATTGGTGCGGCGAACGGCGACGAACTCGGTCGGATGAAATTCTTCTCTAACAGGTAATCTAGTTGCTTCCTCAGTTCGTCGAGTTCGAGCTATGTCAGTCTGAACTGTCGCTGTACGGTTGGCTGTGCCCCGGGTTCTAATTATATTCGGTGATCGTGTGCCCATTGAGGTGGCAGTCCCTCCGGTAAGTCGTCGGGAGAAATCCCAGGGTACAGTTTCAACAGTTCCTATAGCTCGGGTGGTACTGCCGCCAGTAGTTTCTGGAAATCGCTTGGCTGCTTTGCTTCTTTCACCACTGCGATATCCACCGCGTACACGTCAGCTCCAGCGGCGACAGCCCGTTTCATCGTGATGGCGTTGCCGTGGACCGTTGAAGACTCAGGCGACTGCTAGCGAGGTAGTTCGACCCAGTTACCGCTACTTCGCACAGTGCAGCTACCCGTCGTCCAGTCGATTCGTGGGTTGTATCGTCGCAGCCAATCACGTCCCTAGTAAAATGTCGTGCCCATCCAATGTCATCGCGAGCATTTCATGTGTAAACCCGAAGTCCCCCCCGCAGCGGACTTTTACTCTCTTCACTTTTTTCCCGTATGGCCGGCGGCGTTCCGTCGACTAAGCGTGCATCGATCTCCGGTAAACACCGACTAAGTGCCAGTTGCAGTTTTCTCGCAGTCGTGGTATTAACTAAGCCATGACTTGCGCCTCCGTCTATAAAAATCTTCACTGCTGCTCCCTGTATTTTTTCCGTGGATCAGTACTGGGCAATCCGTCGTTGTACCCTCCTTATTCATCCGAGCCCGATCAATAGCGTGAATCGGTACTGTGACTCGGTGAGGGTCAGTGAGGTTGGGCGAGCAGGCAGTTTCGTCAGTAGTTGGCCCAACTTCTACTGACTGCTGGCGTTTCCCGGCCTCTGAGACTCTCGCTCTTGCTCTGTTCCGCGGCGCCTTAGCTCCTCTGGGCATTCACTTTTGCGATGGCCCGGCCTATTGCAAGCAAAGCAGCGCCCCTTAAACGGTGCGGCAGCTGCATTCGTTGCAACGGCGTGTACAGTGGCGTGCTCGATTGGTCCCCAAGGACGTTGTCCGTAGTAGGACCCCGGTCTCAGCCGTCGCAGAATGTCGATTTTCTCGGCGAGCGCGAGGATCTCGTTAAAATTCGAGAGCCCGCGTAGCATGATTTCGTGCGAGATGTCCGGCTTCAGCCCTCCGACGTAACGGTCCACCCACACCGCTTCGTGCATGTAGCCGACTTGCTCGCATAATGCGAGAAATCCACTCGTGTAGTCTTGAACCGATCCGAGCTGCCGCCAAGTACGCAGCTTCTGACGCGCCGAAATCGAAGCCGCAATCGGCTCGAAACGCGCCCGAAGCTCTGCGCACCACGCATCCCACGTGCTGTACTGGGCTGTCTCGCAGAATGAACTCTAGGTGAAGGCTGGACCCGTGGGCCCTTCCTTTTGCGACGGTGGCTCGTAGGCGCGTGGCGACATCACGATGACTCGCCACCAGTCCATGGCGGAGCCCCTCAGCAGCGAAACAGCATAGCGAATCTTCGCTGCGTCTGACTTGACGTAATTCGCGTCGAAAAAGACGTTCATCGTGAAGACCCACGATTGAACCGTCGGACCTCCACGTTGCTCGGGTCGAAACAGGGCGGACGCTGCGGCTTGAGTGGCATTGGTGCCGTGATGGCGTACTCGCCACTCGTCTCTGCAAATTCCACATGCCGACGGGCTTCGCGAGGCTCCCGCGGGCTTGGTGCGGCCCTGTTTCTCCATGCAAGGCATTGAGTGAGCGGCGCCTTCACTGGCTACGCCTGAGCGTTGTCCCACGCTGTCGTTCTGTGTTGGTGTGCCCGATGAGATGACGATCGGCTCCTCTGATTGTGCAGGTGCATTTGTTGGTGCTGGCACATTCACTGTCGATTGCTGGCGAGCGGAGTCGCGTTCCGCCGTGAGCGTAGCGATATCGAGGGCCGAATCTTCGAGTTGGCGTACGAGATGGTCGAGCTGCGCTTGCGTCATTGTCACGAGAGAAATTTCAGCCATGGCGGGGGTGTCGGGCAAGCTCAGCGAGAGCCTCTGTCGTGGCCGTGCTTGCTTACGAGAGAGCACTACGAGCGGCGATGCTTGGTCGCAGAGAGACGTCTACCCCCCCCCCGAAAAAATTGAGATGGTGGGGAAGCGAAGGTGTGGGTGCGGTCCGAGAGAAGATTGTAGGCTCTGATAACCAAGTGTTACGAGTGCAATTGAGTGAGCGAGCGAGGATTGCACTATCGAGGCAAGAAATACAATGAGCGAGGGGTTGAGCGAAGAATATATAGCGAAGCTATAGCGGTAACGGTAACGTGTGGAAACATGGGGTGCGCGACGGGCCTGGCGACGAGGTTGGGGATTGTTGAGGCGGAGGTCCAGAGCGCGGGTTACCAACCGAACCGTGAGGTTGGGTCGCATCGTGAACAATGGCGGGAATGTGTCGAGGCGAATGTCGCGAGTGGTAACGGATTATTGTGGGGTGCTGTTTGAAGAACAGTGGTGTACGCGCTGAGTAGGGATGCTAAGTAAGGAAAAGGAATTTTCCTTACAACAAGGCACAAAAAATCTTCATAGAAAGAACCCATTTCCGAGCATGTAGCGTACATCTAGATTAGTGCCCCTAACGTTGTCCTTAGTTATTGCAACTATTCCCATTCAACAGTAGCTGGTGGCTTAGATGTAATATCGTACACTACCCTGTTCACACCACTGACACTGTTGCAAATGCGAGCTGATACTTCACGGAGGAACTTGGTATCAAATTCAAACCTGGGTGAGCAGAAGACAAGAAGAGCGGGTGATCGAGAGGGTGGGTGAGGGAGGAAGAGAACGGGGAAGAGAAGAGAGTTGTGAATACTGAGGGTGGGTGTTGAAGGGGAAAATAGGAAGGGAATATATCTTATCGCGCTTAGTGCCACGCACAGGGAGCTGAGTGTTGTGTGCTCAACACTGTTCAACTGTCTACAGTTGTTTGCATTTTAATCCAAATATTTCACAACTGCCAAACCACACATGGCCATTGCACCCATATGCACGTGTAACAATCAAACCAACAAGTCCTTCTGAACATCCCCAACCACGCCCAATCCCACCTCACTCACAAACAAAAGGTCCAGGCACCCCACCCCACCCCACCCCAGCCCATCCCACCCATCCTCGCCACATCCCACTCACCAATCAGCCGTCATGCCGTCTTGGCTGGTAATCGCCCTGAGAGCCACCACGTGGGAGTGAGTATACCGTTTCCCCTGCACTGCCACTGCCCGAACCCATGAGTAACCGACTCACTTATAGGCCACTCACCAGTCTGCTGTCATGCCGTCTTGGCTGGTGATCGCCCTGAGAGCCACCACGTGGGAGTGGGTGCGCCTATCGCCCTGCACTCCCACCGACCGCACCGGCAAGAAGACGGCAAACGCCTGCCAGATCTGGTCGTACAGCCCAGCCTCCTTGATTGAATTGATGAAAATCTCATCCACCTGATGCTCAGAATGGGCCAGGGGAACAGAACCAGGGGAACATGGGGAGCAGGGAGGAAAGACGGGGGAAGAATGAACGCCTGCCAGATCTGGTCGTACAGGCCTGGACGAGGAGAAAGATGAGGGAAGGGCAAGCGGGACGAGGGGAGCAGCGGGACGAGCAGACGAGAGGGGTGAGAGATGGAGATGTGGCAGTAGAAGAACAGGCATGAGGGGGGCACTGAGTGCGTCTCTTTGGTGTGCGTTTTGAAAACACTGAATCGCATGGGCAAGGAGTCCCTTTTGGCAGCTGCACTGGCGGGCCAAGAGAGACTCTTTGAGACGTCTCGAAAATACACTTTTATCACATGAGCTCTTTACAGACCATCTCTTCCGGTTCGTGGATTGGATGTCTAATGGGGCCTTTGAACCATACTTGCGCGAAAATTTCTGGCTCATGCTGAAACAGATGAATGGGATGGACTTTCGAGCCCTTGCACATGTTATCGACTGGCATCCAGGCGTGATAAGCGCATGACGAGCTACAAAGGGCGAGCAAACTTGCCCGCGCTTATCACGCCTGAGCGCCTGTTGATAACATGTGTGAGGGCTTTAAAGTCCACCCCATTCATCTGCTTCAGCATGTCCTCCAGCATCCGAACCGTGAGCACAGGTGCCATTTGCCGCGACGTGATCTGTACCTGGCGTACTGTTGAACAGCCAACTACTGGGGTCATGCGTACCTGGCGAATGGCAAGGCCCGTCCGCAACCCCGTCCGCACACACGTCCCCAGCACCCGAATCGCAAGGCCAGATCCCACGTGGACAAAGGTGCCACATGATGCTACGTGTTTATATCATTTGCAGAACAGCCAACTACTAGGGTCATGCGTACCAGGCAAATGGTGTCCAGCGCCCCCTCTGCACACACGTCCCCCACCACCCGAACCGCAAAATTGAAAGCACCTGAGCAGAGGTGCTATACGATGCTATGTGTTTTATACCTGCAAAATAGCTGAGCAGTCCGTACCTGGCGAGCAGCCGTTACCTGGCGAATGGTGTCGAGTGCCCCATCTGCACACACTTCCCCCAGCACCCGAACTGCAAGGTTGAATGCACCAGAGCAGATGCAACCCAATCAGGTAAACTGCAGCAGAGCCCAGCCCGTACCTGGCGAATAGTGTCGAGCGCCCCATCGGCACACACGTCCCCCAGCACCCGAACCGCAAGGCCAGGTCCGGGGAAGGGATGGCGGGAGAGGAAGGAAGCGGGGACGTTGAGGAGAGCTCCAATATTGCGCACCTGAGAGGGGGCGAGAGGGGGAGAAGTCGGGAGAGAAAGAGAAGAGGCGAAAGAGAGTCATTTGCTTGTATAATGGAATCTGGGGGAGAAGAGGGAAGGGATGGCGGGAGAGGAAGGAGGCAGGGACGTTGAGGAGAGCTCCTATCTTGCGCACCTGGGAGGGGGGCGTGAGGGGGAGAGAGGGAAGAAGGGAGGGAGGAGGGAGAGGAGGAGGAAGTGAGGAAAGCAGGGAGAAGAGGAGGGGGAAAACGTGGGGAGGTAGAGGAAGGAGGCGGGGACGTTGAGGAGAGCTCCAATCTTGCGCACCTGGGAGGGGCCGAGAGGGGGGGAGAAGTCGGGAGAGAAAGAGACGAGGCGAAAGAGAGTCATTTTCTTGTATTCTGGAATCTGGGGGAGGAGAGGGAAGGGATGGCGGGAGAGGAAGGAGGCAGGGACGTTGAGGAGAGCTCCTATCTTGCGAACCTGGGAGGGGGCGAAGGGGGAGAGGGAGGAGGGGAGGGAGGGGGGAGAGGAGGAAGTGAGGAAAGCAGGGAGACGAGGAGGGGGGAAACGAGGGGAGGGAGAGGAAGGAGGCGGGGACGTTGAGGAGAGCTCCAATCTTGCGCACCTGGGAGGGGGGCGAACAGGAAGAGGAGGGAAGAGATGGAAGCGGAGATGGGTGAGTGGGGGAGGAAAGGGGAAGGTGAGAGCAGGTGACGGTTACTGAAGTAGTAAAAGCTCAACCCACCTGCAGCTGTTCCAAGTATTGACACTTGATCCAGCCAGCCCATTCCAGCCCCCTCCCTTTCTCCCTGGCGTTGCTCCCCATCCCCATCACTCTTTCCTCTCAGCCCACTCCTTTTCCCTCCCCAAACCCCCCTCCTTTCCCATTCTCCCCAAAGCACCCCACACCCCTGCGTCACCACCCACTCCACTCCTCCCCTCCCGCCCCCCTTTTTGCTCTCCTCCTCTCCTTCACCTCGACCTTGAACAGCCATTTGCGGGGCTCCACAAGGATAAACCACATATTCTAGGGTAAACCACCCCATCCCTCTGTCCCTCTTCCCCCTCTCTCACCTCGTCCTTGAACAGCCATTTGAGGGGCTCCACGAGGGTAAAGCGCATATTCTCGGGTAAACCACCCACGTTGTGGTGGCTCTTAATGGTGTGCGAGTGCTTCTTCCCACTGCCAGGCGGCGGGCACGACTCAATCACGTCCGGATAAAGTGTACCTGCACTAGGGTTGGGGGCGGGGGAGAGGGGGGGGTAGGGGGAGGGTTAGCTACTTGAAACGACTCAATCATGTCCGGATACAGTGTACCTGGCAAGCCCAAGCCTCAGCCCAAGACGCCCCAAACAAAACATCCGAAGCAAGCCTACAGACGCGTTCGGCCCAGAGCTTCCAACCAGAACCGAAGCCCATATATCCGTTAGTGTGGTTTAGGTTATTCGAAACAATAATACAAAGAAGAAAAAAACAAGTATCGAACTTGTAGAGATTCAACAATCAGAGCTGAATCTGGAGGTACTTTGAATGACATGAATCTGGCAAACATGAATGACTCAATTGCGTCCGGATACAGTGTACCTGGAACAGGTTCGAACAGGTCACTTTGAAAAACCCGATCACACTCGAAAAACAGTGTAAGTGTGACGAAATCGTCAAACACTCCAACGAACTCCGCCCCGATGATGCGCCTCCCTCCCTCCTCTTGGGATCCATGACGCCCCTGAGCTTGAAGAGGAGAACAAGCGCCACGTCCCCTCCTTGTCTCTCCCCTTGCTTCAACCCAAGCGAATCACACCATCCTGAGCCAGCAGCTAACCCACCTTGCACCAGGCACTCGGGCCGGTGCCCCAACTTCGCCTCCAGTTCACTGGCAAAGTCGTCAAATACTCCAATGAACTCCGCCCCATTGTTGCGCCTCTTCCTCTCCCTCCCTCTCTCCGTCTTGCTGCAAACCCGACAAAGCTCAAATGTGGTCCACCCACCTTGCACTAGGCACTCTGGTCGGTGCCCCAGCTTCGCCTCCAGTTCACTCGCAAAATCATCAAAAACGCCAATGAACTCCGCCCCGATGATGCGCCTCTTTTTCTCGGGATCTGTGACGCCCCTGAGCTTGGAGAGGAAGCGGTCAGATGCATCCACACAGGTGACTGGCAGGTGCAGGTCCGCCTCAAACATCGCCATCACGCGCTGCTGCTCCTGGAACCTGCAGTGCGGGGTGGGGGAGAGAGGGATGGGGAGAGGAGGGGCGTGGGTGGGGGGGTGGGTGGTGGGGTTGGGAACGGGCAGGGGTGACAACTAAGGAAGCAGGGAGTGACTGGCAGGTGCAGGTCCGCCTCAATCATAGCCATCACCCGCTGCTGCTCCTGGAACCTGCAGTGTGGGCGGAGGGGGAAGGGGGAAAACGGAGGCAGCGGAAGGGGAAGTATGGGTGTGGGTTGGGGGGTGTTGGCGTGAGGGAGGGGCAGGGGTGAGCGCAAAGGAGGCAGGGGGAGTCTGACAGGGTGCAGATCTGCTTCCCACATTGCCATCACCCGCTGCTTCTCATCAAACTGAGGTGTGCAAAACCCCATCGTTACACAACCGCATTAAACCCACCAAAACCCTCCAACAACCTCACCGCAGCAGCCCATTATCCACACCGATGCAGTCCTAACCCAGCTAAATCCCCACTAAACCGCTCTCAAAAACTCACCGCATCAACCCTTTATCCACAAAGATTCTCGCCCTGAACCCTGAAGAATCCTAGGCCCGTTCTCAGGCCCCATCCCTGAACTCTCAAACCCCAAACTCCGTCCCAGCTTAAAAAAACCCTGCTTAAACCATCCACACTCACTGCAACAGCCCATTGTCCACGAAAATGCAGTGCCGTAGGTCTCCAATCGCCTGGTGCACCAGCGTGGCCGCTACAGACAATGCAACACCCTTATCTTTCACTAAGCCACCACTTGAAAACCACATTAAGCCGCACTCAACCCTACAAAAACTCACAGCAACAGTCCGTTGTACACAAAGATGCAGTGCAGGCTGTCCCCAATCGCCCGGTGCACCAGCGTGGCCGCTACAGTCCAGACAGTGACCCCGTGCCTTCCCCTCACCAACACTACAGAACCGCACTAAACCAAGCCGAATCCCTCCTGATTCCCTCCCCATGTACCACGTACCGCAGCAGCCCATTGTCAACAAAGATGCAGTGCAGGCGGTCTCCAATCGCCCGGTGCACCAGCGTGGCCGCTACAGTCGGGTCAACACCCCTTCCCCTCTCCCTTACCTTACCACTACAAACCGCACTAACCCCCGCTAAACCCTGTGAAACCCCTCTACACTCACCGCAGCAGTCCGTTATCCACGAAAATGCAGTGCAGGCGGTCCCCAATCGCGCGGTGCACCAGCGTCGCCGCTACAGTCGAGTCAACGCCGCCCGACAGCGCGCACACCGCATGCTTCACTGGGCCCACTGCCGCTTGGACGGCTGAGATCGCCTCATCTAGCACCTCCTGCATCTGCCAATCAGCGTGCGCGCCTCCAATGTCAAAGACTACGCGGCGAAGCGTCTCCATGCCCCTGGGGGTGTGGGTCACCTGTCGGAGGGAACAAAGCCAAGGAGTAGACGGGGAACGGGTGAAAGAATGGGACACGCTTACATGAAAGCGGGTGAAACCACAAAATTCCCCCATCTAGCATCTCCTGCGTTGGGCAATCAGCGTGCATGATCCCTGAAAAAGAAAGACTAACTTCCCAAACAGCTGAAATGAACATGTGTGCAATACCCTCATGGAATTTCACCCTCTCTCCCCTCGCCCTTTGCCCCTCGCCCTTCGCCCCTCACCTCTTGCACCTCCCCCCACCCCCTCTCCCTTCACACACCTCAGGGTGATATTGCAGGCCGAATATCTTGCGTGTCGTGCACTCATGCCCTCTCCCTCACTCTCCCTTCAAACCCCCTTTTTGCCGGATTTTTTCCTACTTTCTTCCCACTCACCCACCTCAGGGTGGTATTGCAGGCCGAATATCTTGCGTGTCGTGCACTCAATTGCCACCACCGTGCCCTGATCGCTGCGCGCCACCACTCTGAACCCCTCTGGAAGCTTCGTCGCCTCGTCGCCGTGGCTCATCCACACGGTCTGATGGGAACAGGGGTTTATAACGAGACAGGATGCTGAAACGAGACGGGTGATTGTAACAGGATGACCAGGGTAAACCCTTGGGTAACGTTCGTAAACCCCCTTGGTTAGCGTTCGCAAGACCCTTGGATGACCTTCGTAAACCCCTTGTTTTACGTGGCTTGTTCCATCGGTCTGGCGAAAACAAATGTTTATAGCGAGAAGAGTTGCAATGGCATTCTGTGATGGTAGCCGCATGCCTGTCGCACGTAGCGGTGGTAACCCGTTACCTGTCGCGATTCATTCTTCGCCTTCTTCTTCTCAGGTTCCTCGCCTCCCGCGTCGCTCCCGCCAAAGAGCGCCGAATCGCAATCCGCCACGATATCCATCCGTCCGTACTCCTGCGCCTCGGCTCGTGCCACGTCACCACCCAATGTCTTCACGATCAGCTGCATGCCATAGCAGATCCCGAGAACCGTAATACCCTTCTCTATCGCATAGTCGAAAAAACCCGCGGGAACCGTCGGCGAACCTTCCTCGTGCACGGAGTTCGGCCCGCCGGAGAGAACGATGATCGTCGGATGGACGGCCTGGATCTGATCTAGCGGCACGCCGGCCGGCAGGCTGACGGAGTAGACTCCGAGCTCGCGAATGCGGCGCGTGATTAGCTGCGTGTACTGCGATCCGAAATCGAGCACGAGCACGACGGATCGTTTTGACGAGGTCAAAACGGACGGCGGAACCCCTTGAAGGGTTTCTGTAGGGGTCACTGACTTCTCAGCAGCGGTATTCGCGGCAACGCTCGCGGCGGTTTCGTGGCCGTTTTCTGCAGCTGTCGCCATGATTGAATTAAATATCTTCTGCGATCCTGTGCTGGGTCGATCACTCCACCGTTTAACGATCGGAAAACGTCGCCTGACGACAAAGACGTTGCAAGACGAAAATAATGGTGTCGCAAGCGACCTATCCCCAAAATGAGGCCACGAATGGCCTCTGAGAGCCTTGAGAATGGAGGCGGAGGAAGAACCAATCAGGCAGAACAGAGAAGCGGACGAGAGGGACATATGAGAAGGACAAGCAAGGGAAAGGAAGGAAAATCGTAATCGAGGGTGGTGGTGGTGAAAGTTGAAACGAGATGGTTGACACGCCGCGGCGGGGTTCGCAAATTTGACCGTTTCAGGGTAGCCGAAATGACAGTTCCAAGGCTGCCCGTCGGACAAGCCTTGAAAAAATCTGGCAATTCCCAGAGCCACCTCTGAGAGCTTCGTCAGGAAGCAACCTAGGTATTGTACAGTGACACAAAGTTCGAACGAATCAATAAATTGTAAAGTTGGATATACAAGATAAACAAAAACACAAGCACTGTGCAGGTTTGGTGAGCTATATTACACGCTTCCCAAAAAGGAACACTCCTTTATCTTCACTCCGTTTATTCTCTGTTTCATTTCCTTCAGCATCATATATAGTGCGGTTATGTACAGATGCGTTTATGCCATGAGTCGTGTGTTCATGGCGGCCTATTGAGTGGACCCGCGTCACCTGTACTCCTCCCGTAAGTCTGCTGTCGTCATCCATATTCCCATCCCTCTCCATATCCACAGTCGGGGAAGACAGCTGTATGATCGGCTCTTGTTGTACCACCGTAACTTGAGGCGCTAGTGTTTGTGTTTCATGATGATGAAACCCCGAATATGCAATCCGCTGCTGAAGGATTGTCACGTCACTCCCTTCATGTAGGTTGTCCTTTAGATGCCTCGAAATTAGATCTTGTGCCCATGCACTCCGTGCCACAATCATAACACCTCTTGCATGGACGCCCCCCACCATGCCTGTCGAAGGTGCCGCCGGACGAGCCATAGGTCTGGCCGGACCTGTATCCTCCCCTACCGAACCTCCTGCAAACATCGCCGAGTCTGCTGCCGGACCTGCAGCATGCAGTGTCCCTGGCCGGGCAGGCACATGCGTATTCAATGACGAAAGTCCTCTTGTGGTTCGCATAAGCTCTGCCGAAAAAGCCGCTGCCGATGCCGATGCTGCTGTCTCCTCCTGTGGTTGCTTCTGTTCGCAAGACCCCAGAGTAGCCTGCAACAGCCGAGCATCCCCAGCGGCCCCGCTGCTGCTTCCGCCGGCCTGATCTAGCCCTTGTGCAAGCAGCAGGGAACTCTGCCAGAGATGTTGTTGCTTGAGGATAGGGAAGGAGGGGTCTACCAAGGATGCTACAGTGGCAGCATGGACCATGACGGGAATGGGAGGCGAGAGAGAGGAGGAGTGGAGAATGGCTGTGGGATCGGAGAATGAGGATGCAGTGTTGGTAGCGGAGGGAGGCGGCGCAGCAGGGGTGAGAGGAGGGGAAGGAGCGTGGAAGCGTGGAGGGTGCATGCCGAGAGCGTCGATGGCTGGCGCGTGCACGCCTGGAGCGTGCATGGCCGGAGGGATAGTGCCAGAGCCTTTCAGGTGCGCGTGCGGGGCTTGAGAGGCCTGAAAGGCCTGAGAGGTCTGAGAGGTCTGAGAGACCTGAGTGGCACGAGAGGCCTGAGTAGCTTGAGAGGTTTGAAAGGATGACAATGGAATTTGCTCACTTGATGGCAGTCTGTGCACCACACCTGTCAGGTCAGCCACAGCAGCAGACACACCGCCCTGCGAGGATGGTTTTTTTAAACTCTCAAAAACACCTGTGAGATTAGCCGCAGCAGCAGATGCACCAGCTTGTGAGGCTGGCCAGTCACCAACAGCAACAGACGAAGCAGGGCCGGGCCAGCCGACTACAGTGGTGGTCCCGAGGAGAGAAGCAGGGGCACCCATGACATGCTTCCCATCAACAGAATAATTATCAGCAGCATTGCCACCAGCAGCATTGCCACCAGCAGCATTGCCACCAGCAGCATTGCCACCACCACCACCAGCAGCAGCAGTAGCGGCAGCGCTGGCATAGGCTGCTGGAGCAGCAGCAGCTGAGGCAGATCGTGGCCACGAGAGGGACCCGAACCCGACCGGCCGATTCAGCCCGAGAGAGAGGTCGTGCTGGAGTGGAATGGAGAGGCTTCGGGACTTGGCCACCGCGCCAGGTTTCAGCAAGTAGCCCTCGTTAGAATCACCTCCAAATCGGCTGGACAGATCCATTGGAGCACTGCTAGTGGCATCGTCCGCGTTACCAGCATCATCATTACCAGTCACATCGTCACCAGCACCACCGCCACCACCGCCACCACCACCGCCACCACCACCGCCACCACCACCACCGCCACCACCACCGCCACCACCACCGCCACCACCAACACCACCACCAACACCACCATAGCCACTGCCAATCTGGGATCCTGAAGCAATTAGAAATACCGTACCGTCTTGAGGTTCGGGTCCTGGAGTGACATCCATAGGAGCCCAGTTTCCGGAAGCTTCTGAGGGCGACGTGCTGAATGACTGCCCCCGAGCTTCCATCATCCGAGCAGATGAAACGTGCCTGGGTGAGGGTGCACTCTCGTCTGTAACGTGCTGCGCCTGAAGCTGTTTCGGAGACCTTGTGCTGCTGGTGGTGATACGAGTCGGCTGCTCCAGCTGGTGGTGCTGACACGGCTGCAGCTGAGGCTGTTGCTGGGATGATGCGAGCCGGGCGCGGAGGTTGCGGGCGATGGCGGCAGCAAGCATTTTGTTGCACGAGTCGTCAAACTCCCGGGATGCTGCTGTTGCTGCTGAGCCGTCCCTCTTTGCTTTCCCACGCCCCCGGGGAGTGGTAGCAACAGTGGCGGCAGTACCATCAGCAGAAGCCGGCATGATCTTGTTGCGCGAATCCTCAAACTCCCGGGATGCTGCTACAGCTGCTGCTGCTGAGCCATCCCTCCGTGCTTTCCCGCGGCCCCGGGGAGTAGTAGCAGCAGCGGCAGTACCAGCAACGCCAGCTGTAGCAGCAGCAGCGGCTGTAGCAGCAGCACCTGCGCTGCCTGCGCTCCCTCCGCCGCCTCCGCCGCCGGCGGTGGCCAGAGGCCCGCGCTTCCTCCTGCTGCGCCCCCGGGGAGACCCGCCTTCGATGAAGATTCCTACTTGGCGCTTGTACGCGGAATCCGGAGGAGCAAACACCGTCCCCGCAGCCCCCGCGATGTCGGCCGCCGCGGAGGCAATTTTCGCGGCTCCAGATGGCGGCGGGGCGCGGAACAACGGCGGCACCATGAATGCCGCCGCCGCCGCCGCTGCCTCCGCCGCCCCTACCGCTGCTGCAACCCCTGCTGCTGTCGCTCTCGCTGGGGTTGGACGCGGCGCGTCCGGGTTCACCGAGTCGCCTGTGCCGTCAGTCCTGTCGTTGAGTATTACTAGTAGTGGGGAATGCGATAGCATGTTGATCTTCGGACTTTGTTGACTATTCTGACTCTGGAGCAACACTGTTGGCGTCGCGTCGCCGAACTCGTCGCCCGTGTCGCCAGTTCTGTCGCCCGCTGCATCGCCCTGTCCATTGTCGCTCACCTCGTCGGCCATATCGTCGCCCACTCCTCCCTCCGAGTCGCCGCGCATGCCACCGTCCATTCCGCGACCTTCCTTTCGCCGCACTGCGGCCAGTGTCAACTTAGTTCAGCGTGTAATTGAAGATTCAATTCACAGTCAAATCTCGTCGTCTTGCCGCCTTGCGAGCCGTAGCCGCTTCTTCGAAAAGTCCGCTTGAGTTCCTTTCAAGAAATCCGGGGATTGCCGCTGCAAATTGACTGGCAGTCACTACTGATGCAACAACTGCAAATTGTCACGTAATCATCTGTACATCGAGCGACGGTTGCGGCGACAGATAGAAAGTTCTACCACTGCTACTACTAATCGTTCGGCACGTCCTAAGTCAGGATCTCGACTCGAGATCAGATGTACAAAGCGAGAGGAAACGGCGCGACGCACGTTCACTGCACAAATCGTGGTACTATTACTACAACTGAGGTACGTGAACAGCGAGCAGCGGCATATTCTGATTCTCGATGATCCGTCGGCTGTTTATCTACTATGCCATGCTCTTGTTGGGGGTCTGTTTGGGGCCGAGTGAGTGATATGCAGCTCTGGTCTGCCAGACCAAAGAAGTCGGGGTCTGGTCAGCGTCGCATCCCGGATTTCCGAAATCGTTCGGAGCGCGGAGGTTGGTTGGATCCGAAAGCCCAGTCAGTCACACTCCCGGACTGAACCGGAACACATCGAATTGCGGAACTAGTCACTAGAATTGTGGAGCATGGAGCTCCTCTGAAGGAACTGTTGATCCCTAGTGCGGAGCGATGTTGCTAACAGAACCTGGTTTGCCTCTACAGAAGGTTGTGAGGCTGTCATACTTGTACGTATTCGTGTACACCATGTTTTTCGCTACTATGAACCGCGTAAGAACGCTACTGTTTCTTGGCAGTATTCGGAATTTTGCTGATACCGAAACCAGTCAATTGTCCCTAGCAGAATGAGGGGAAGTTCCAGAATGCATTTTGCCTAGATACCCTAGCCAGCCTTTCTAAATTGTCCAGGAACCTTTCTAAAACGTAACCCATCACACTGGATCGGGCTGGTTAAAAGTTCACTATGACGCGGGTGATAGCGTGCTTCTGTACGGGGTGAGTTTCTAGTAACGGCGAATACAGTATACCGGAATCCACAATAGCGAAAAACAGGGTGTAAATACTGTGTGTGCCCCCTTGTACTGTGTGAATTACTGTACTGTACTGCACCACACCTCTGTGTGTCCCTTTCAAGGAGTCCTCGCCTCGACTCCTACCTCAGTGGCTATCGGTAGCTCACCCTCCAGGCGGATGCCCTCCAGGCGGATGCCCTCCAGGCGGCGTGCCCGAGGAAGATTTTGTATTTATACATTTGAAGTCGTTCGCGTGCCTAGGGCGCGATGCGCGCGGATGTCCTCGCGTGCGTGTGTGTGCAGTGGAGTGGATAAGTGAGAGCCTTGACCCTTCCATTGGTCAATTTGAAGCAGAAAGCTCGTGATTGTGCATCAGTTGCTGACTGCCTTCTCATCCCATTTGCATGTGGATGGTGGTCAGGACACAGGTGAAGAGGTTGGTTGGTGAATGTCGCGAGCATCTTTTTGGGCATTGTGTGTGGGTCAACCACAGCACCGACGGAGCTGATGCGTTGACGAGATTTGGTACCGTCTGTGTTTCTGACTACACGAGCTAGTTGTGGGAGTGGTGCGGGCATTGCTTTTGCAGCACCGTCCACTAAACTCGGCCCCTTCAAGTGTCCGAGATTTGGGAGATGGAATGGAACGCAATTGTCAGCAATGACCCAGACGTGCGTTTGACAGAGCAGTTGGTTGTGCTAGCCAAAATTTGTGGGCACCAGCTAGAGCAGCACTGAGGGGGGGAAGAGCGGCTCGTTGGCATTGAAAGCAGGTCGTGACGGATTGGGGGAACCGAAGCGCGCATTCTGGGTTGAATCTCAATAATGTGGAAACACAGGCTTCGATTGTTTTTCTTGTTGCCCGTTAAAGTAGAATGCTGCAGGGTAGCAAAGGCACGGGTGTGGGAAACACCAGTAGGCACATTTGATTTGAATGCCGTATGTTTAGGCAAGCCATCGCTTTGTTTTGGACAGATGTGTTGTCGATTTGGATACCCAAAGGGACTGACAACACTTTGCACATGCGATGGGTCACTTCGTCTTTGTACATGCACGACATGAACGGTAAAATTCGTGCACTTTCGATACAGCACAGCGGTGGTAAGCGGAGCTAGGAACCACGACGAAATTCACAAACGTCTCGGTTTCTCATGCTCGTGTCACCAAGTAAAGACTCCACATCAGCGGGACAAATCTTGATCGAAGACTCGTCAAGATCGCTCGATTATTGTCCAATCGCGAAGTGTGCATGTGAAGACCCACCATTGTAGAGATCAAATTGGCAAATTACCAAGAGAGCACGTGCTTGCCATTCTGTGTTGTGTCATGTACGTTCCGAAAATACCGGCACGTATGCCGCTGCTATTTCACGACAGGGGTACATGCTCTTGCACTTGTCGTAGTTATATGTAAATTTAGAGAACTTTAATATAATGTTAGTGAGGATGAGAGTACAAATAAATTCAGCAAATGGGGAAGCAAAAAGGCCTCGCCCACTGACATGGGGCTCTGAGTTTGAGTGCTGGAAGGGAAGAATTCGGTGACAATATCTGTCATTTGTAAGGGCAAGTCAAGTTAGCTGATATTGTGTTCGGTAAAAATTACATTGATTACGATGATGGTGTTGAGACTTGCATACATGCGAATGTGGGAGCTGACTTCTATCGAATCCCATCCAGTAATGACGTGGCGTAGCGTAATCCACAATCTCCTCATACTACCGATCACACTCCCCACTTCACTTGCCAAGTGTTACCTCAAGTCCAGTCTGGCGATCCCAAGCCAATGATTGGCGAACGAGCCATCAGCAGGCTCTGTGCACTGTTCATCAGTGTTCTTTAATCTCTGGAGCTCGAAGCGCACCAGGCGTCTATTCTCCGAGCGACCGACAGCCCGCCTTACTCTGCGGAAGTGACAAGGCGAAGTCATACAGTAGTTGACCTGCGTCGTTTCTCGTCGCGCGCATGCTTCTTTGTTATCGTAGTTGCATTCCTTTCCGTATATCCCGCATTCGATTCTTTATCACCAGCCAGGAAAGAGGCATTTAGTTTCTCCAGACGACGCGAACATTGTTTAAGTAATTATCCGCCTCTATTAATTACAATGGCGTCGTGTCTCCGCGCGCCCATTGTCCGCCCAATGCTCCTCCGCTCCCCCTCTCTCTCCGCCTCCACTTCCGCTGTCGCTGGAGGCTTCCTCCAATCGTTAAGTGCCACGTCACCATCGATTCTACTCCCCCCAGCGTGGCGGAGCCGGTTCGCTTCCGCCGGGTCGTCCGCCAATCCCGCCTCCCCCTCCTCCCCCGCGATCCGCTGCGAATCCGCCGATCCCACGGTGGAAACGCGGACCGCGGAAGGACTCGCGGGAAGCGCAGCGGAACCGGAAGCTTCCGCCAAGAAGGGCAAGGCGGGGAAGAAAGAGGGAGGAGGCGGGGGAGGCCAGGGGAAAGCCGGCGGGAAAGGCGGCGCGGGATCCGCGGAAGCGTCGAAAATCGCGTCGCGGTCGGAGAATTTCAGTCGGTGGTATCTGGACGTGATTCGCGAGGCTGAGCTGGCGGATTATGGGCCGGTGCGCGGCACGATGGTGATTCGCCCGTACGGCTACGCGATCTGGGAGGCGATTCAGGTGGGGCAGGCTTGGGTGGAATTTGGAACGTGCGTTAGAGTAGGGTTTAGAGCATCCACCTGGCTGGCGGACTGTGGGCCGGTGCGCGGCACGATGGTGATCCGCCCGTATTGCTACGCGATCTGGGAGGCGATTCAGGTGGGGCAGGCTTGGGCGGCAGTCTTAGGTGGGGCGGGCTTAGGTGCGGCAGGCTTGGGTGGGGCAGGCATGGGTGGGGAAGGCTTGGATGGGGCAGGCTTAGGTGGGGCACATAGGTTGAGGCAGTGCAGAGGCTATGCATGTGCGGTCACTGAATTTTCTCTTTGAAACGTCTCGAAACACGAATCGTTGCGCATGCGTTTCATACATTGTGGCTGGTGGCTCCGCCCGCAGGTACGATTTTTGAGAAATTTCAATGATTTCTCACAGGCCCATTCATGTGCGTTCATGGATGTGTGTGCGCGCATTCGTGTTTCGAGACGTTTCAAAACCTCAAGTGTATGCATGCATGTGCGAATATGAATGCATCTATCTTCGAATGTTCCGAAATTTTCCTTCAAACCCTCCCTCCTGATCCGCCCCAAGCCTCCCCACTCCCCAGAATCATGTCCCTCCAACCCCTTCTTGTCTCCCCTTAATCCGTGTAAACAGAGTTGTTTTGAGACGTCTCAAAACAACTCTGTTTACACCCCAACCCTCCTCACTCCCAGAATCATGTCCCTCCAACTCCTTCTTCTCTCCCCTTAATCCGTCCCGCAAACCCCTCTTGTCCTCCTCCTGTCCCCGAAAACCCCCGGCTAACCCCGAAACCCTGCCAGTCATGGCTGGACCGCAAGTTCAAGGAGACGGGGCACGAGAACATGTACTTCCCACAGGTGAGGGAGGGAGGGGCGGAGGACGCTGAACGGGGGAGCATGAGGGGGGGAACGGGGGAGAATGGTGGGTTTGATATGAATGCAATGCGTGCAAGTTCAAGGAGACGGGGCACGAGAACATGTACTTCCCACAGGTGAGGGAGGGAGGGGCGGAGGACGCTGAACGGGGGAGCATGAGGGGGGGAACGGGGGAGAATGGTGGGTTTGATATGAATGCAATGCGTGCAAGTTCAAGGAGACGGGGCACGAGAACATGTACTTCCCACAGGTGAGGGAGGGAGGGGCGGAGGACGCTGAACGGGGGAGCATGAGGGGGGGAACGGGGGAGAATGGTGGGTTTGATATGAATGCAATGCGTGCAAGTTCAAGGAGACGGGGCGCGAGAACATGTACTTCCCACAGGTGAGGGAGGGAGGGGCGGAGGACGCTGAACGGGGGAGCATGAGGGGGGGAACGGGGGAGAATGGTGGGTTTGATATGAATGCAATGCGTGCAAGTTCAAGGAGACGGGGCACGAGAACATGTACTTCCCACAGGTGAGGGAGGGAGGGAGGGAGGGGCGGAAGAAGAGAGGGGGGGGGTTGGGAAAGAGCGGGGATGGTGGGGTGGGGTGATATGAATGCCTTGTGCAAGTTGAAGGAGACGGCCACGAGAACATGTACTTTTCACAGGTGAGTGAAATCCCATTGAAATTTCTCGACCTTTTGAAATCTCCCCCCTCCTCCCCTCCATCCCCCATCTCCTCCGTCCCTCCGCCCTTTTCCCCTGCTTGTTGAGATTACGCCCCTCGTATTGAACGTTACGCTATTTGCAAGAATGCTATTGAACTATATGGTATTTGCACGAATTTGTCATATACAGGCTGTCTGTGTTAAACCCTTCCATAACCCCTTCCAACATTTACACCCGCTCTTCCACTCCCTCCCCCCCCCCCCCTCTCTTCCCTGCCCTTCTCCCCACCCCCTTCAGTTCATCCCGTATTCTTTTATCGAAAAAGAGGCATCACACGTGGAGGGCTTTTCTCCTGAGCTGGCACTCGTGACTATAGGCGGAGGCAAGGAGCTTGAAGAGAGACTGGTGGTGAGTGTGCTCTATGAGTGTGACTATAGGGAGATGGATGCACTGCACATGCACTGGTGAGTGTTCTGTGTGTGTGTGTGTGTGTGTGTGTGTGTGTGTGTGACTATAGGCGGAGGCAAGGAGCTTCAAGAGAGACTGGTGGTGAGTGTGCTGTGGTCTATGTGACTATAGGGAGATGGATGCACTGCACATGCACTGGTGAGTGTTGTGTGTGTGTGTGTGTGTGTGTGTGTGTGTGTGTGTGACTATAGGCGGAGGCAAGGAGCTTCAAGAGAGACTGGTGGTGAGTGTGCTGTGCTCTGTGTGACTTTTTGTGGGATGGATGCACTGCACATGCACTGGTGAGTGTGCTGTGCTCTGTGTGACTATAGGGGAAGGGAAGAGCTTTCAGAGAGGGATGGATGCAACCTACCCTCTGTCTTCATTCTGCCCGTGCTGCCCGTGTTTATTCTCCCTCACTCTCTTCTTTCCCATTGCTCCTTGTTCCTCGTTCCAGGTTCGTCCACCAGTGAGACGATTGTGAATCACATGTTCGCCCAGTGGATCCAAAGCTACAGGGACCTGCCTCTATTGATCAACCCTCCTCTTTCATCCTCCCTAATTCCCCTCTTCCAAATTACCATTTCCTCCTCTGCCTCACTTCCAGGTCCGTCCCACCAGCGAGACCATTGTGAACCACATGTTCGCCCAGTGGATCCAAAGCTACAGGGACCTGCCTCTGCTGATCAACCAGTGGGCGAACGTGACGCGGTGGGAGATGAGCACGCGGCCGTTTGTGCGCACTCTGGAGTTCCTGTGGCAGGAGGGGCACACGGCGCACACCAGCAGGGAGGAGGCCGAGGAGGAGGTGAGGGGGGGAAGGGAGCATGGGAGGTGAGGGGGGGAAGGGAGCATGGGAGGTGAGGGGGGGAAGGGAGCATGGGAGGTAGGGACGGAACGGAAGGAGGGAAGGGAAGCAAGGTCGATGGAGGGAGGGAAGGAGGGAGGGAAGGAGGGAGGGAAGGAGGGAGGGAAGGAGGGAGGGAAGGAGGGAGGGAAGGAGGGAGGGAAGGAGGGAGGGAAGGAGGGAGGGAAGGAGGGAGGGAAGGAGGGAGGGAAGGAGGGAGGGAAGGAGGGAGGGAAGGAGGGAGGGAAGGAGGGAGGGAGCAAGTTCTATTGGGGGTTTACATGTAAGAAGGCAGGGGTGGGAGTTCCCAAACCAGGGCAGTGGGTTGGGTTGAGCGCCACAGGGAGGGGGCTTTCCACTACCACACCCTCCACCCTCCACCCTCCTCCCTCTCCCCATCTGCCCCTCCCAGGCCCTCTGAATGGTTGAGGTATACAGGCAGTTTGCATGGGAGCAAGCATACGTGCCGGTGATAGTGGGGCACAAGTCGCCCACCCGCCCACTCACCACCGCACCCTCCTCCCCCTTCCCTACGTCCCTCCCCCAGGCTCTCCAAATGGTGGAGGTATACAGGCAGTTGGCTGGCATGGGATCAAGCAGCCGTGCCGGTGATAGTGCCCATTCCCCACCCACTAACCACCACACCCTCCTCCCCCATTCCCCTCCTCACTTCCCTCCCCACCCTCCTCCCCCGCAACCCCCCCTCGTTCCCCAGTTTGCATGGGAGTAGGCAGCAGCGCCGGTGGTAGTGGGCCGCAAGTCGCCCAACGTCCCCTTCCCTCGCTACCCACGTTATTCTCTTCATCCCCCTCCCCACCTCCCGCCCTACCCTCCCAGGCTCTGCGCATGGTGGAGGTATACAGGCAGTTTGCATGGGAGCAGGCGGCAGTGCCGGTGATAGTGGGCCGCAAGTCGCCCAACGAGACCTTTGCCGGCGCCGACACAACCTACACGATTGAGGCGATGGCGGGGGACAGGCGGGCGTTGCAGGCCGGCACGAGCCACTTTCTGGGACAGAACTTTGCCAAGGCGTTTGGGACCAAGGTGATGGGAGAGGAGCGGGGAGGGGATGGGGAAAGAGGGGAGGTGGGTGGGTGCTGACACGACCTACACGATTGAGGCGATGGCGGGGGATAGGAGGGCGCTGCAGGCCGGGACAAGTCGTTTCTTAGGCCAGAATTTCGCCAAGGCGTTTGGCACCAAGGTGAAGGGTGGAGTGGAACAAGGGAGGGGATGGGGAAGGAAGGAAGGTGGGTGCCGACACGACCTACATGATCGAGGCAGTGGCGGGGGATAGGAGGGTGCTGCAGGCCGGCACGAGCCATTTTCTGGGCCAAAACTTTGTCAAGGCGTGTGTGTGTGTGTGTGTGTGTGAGTGTGAGTGAGTGAGTGTGTGTGAGTGAGTGTGAGTGCGTGAGTGAGGGAGTGTGTGTGTGTGTGTGTGTGTGTGTGTGTGTGTGTGCATGCTCACATGCTGGCAAGGCAACTCCGTTGTTCTGTTTTCACTTTCCTCTCGCGTCCCATCCCTCCCCTCCTGCCAGTACCTGGCAGAGACGGGCGAGAATCAGTACGTGTGGCAGACGCATGGTGCACTCGCATGGTGCACTCGCATGGTGCACTCGCATGGTCCCGCACTCATAATGTACCGATTTTTATGTTGTCATGTTTGTTTTCCCCCCACCACCCCACACCCCCCCACCAGTACCTGGCAGTACCTGGCAGTACCTGGCAGTACCTGGCAGAGACGGGCGAGCAGCAGTATGTGTGGCAGACGAGTTGGGGAGTGAGTGAGTGAGCACGCGCTTGGTGCCTCTCTACTCTCATGCCCACTCCACATTCCCAATTGCTGATTCCTTGCTCTCTCCTCGCCTCCCTTCCCCCCACCAGTACCTGGCAGAGACAGGCGAGCAGCAGTATGTGTGGCAGACGAGTTGGGGAGTTAGCACGCGCATGGTGGGGGCGGTGATCATGGGGCATGGCGACGACATGGGGCTCAAGCTGCCACCTAATCTGGCGCCTGTTCAGGTATTTGCCGCATGCGCGGAGGGCACATGGGATGGGAGTATGCTAATAGGGGGGTGGGGAGTGAGTGAGCACGCGCATGGTGGGGGCAGTGATCATGGGGCATGGCGACAACATGGGGCTCAAGTTGCCTCCCAACCTCGCGCCTGTCCAGGTACTTTGTTCCTGCCGGTCACTTTGCCAGTTAACCTCATGCCTATTCAGGTGAGTTGCCGCTGTTCAAGTGATTGTGCCAGAAGGGATTTGGGGAGTGAGCACACGCATGGTGGGGGCAGTGATCATGGGGCATGGCGACAACATGGGGCTCAAGCTACCGTCCATCCTCGCTCCTGTTCAGGTGAGTGCATTGCACCCCCCCCCCCCACCCTCCCCTGTTCTGGTGAGTGTTCTTTGTGGGCCATTGTGCTGCATGAATGGAGGGCACATGGGATGGGAAGGATGGTGTGCTTGAAAGGTGGGTGGGGGGTGAGCGTGCGCATGGTGGGGGCGGAGATGGGGCATGGGACGACATGGGGCCCAAGCTACCGTCCAACCTAGCTCCTGTTTAGGTACTTGCTCCTAGTCGTGGTAGCCTATGGCTCAAGCACGATTGTGTGGCTCATCCCTTTTGAATCCCGTGCCGATGTTTGAGGCGCCTCTAAAATCTGGAGGCAGCAGGCAGGGCGGGCGGAGGGGATATTTATTCACCACACTAACTCAAGGCCGTAATGAGACGTCTCAAAACTAACTCAAGGCCGTAATGAGACGTCTCAAAACTAACTCAAGGCCGTAATGAGACGTCTCAAAACTAACTCAAGGCCGTAATGAGACGTCTCAAAACTAACTCAAGGCCGTAATGTGTGCGTGTCTCTCACGCACTTACCCCTCTGCTGCAGGTGGTGATTGTGCCGATATGGAAGGCAGAGGGCGAGAAAGAGGCAGTGCTGGAGGCAGCAGGGTGGGCGGAGGGAGCTTCCTTGCTGGCCCCACTCTTTCTGTTCCTCACCCCCTTCCACCCCCCTCCCGTGCTGCAGGTGGTGATTGTGCCGATATGGAAGGCGGAGAATGAGAAAGAGGTGGTGCAGGAAGCAGCAGGTCAGGCAGAGGGGGTACCTTTCACCACACCCACTAATGGCCCCACTATGTGTGTATCTTGTGTGTGGTACTTATGCGTGACTCAAATCCAACCTCCTTGTTTTCCTTTGACAGGTGGTGATAGTGCCGATATGGAAGGCGGAGGGCGAGAAAGAGGCGGTGCTGGAGGCAGCAGGGCGGGCGGAGGGGATGCTGCGGGCAGCGGGGGTGAGAGTGAAGCTGGATAAGACGGAGCAGCGCACGCCCGGGTTCAAGTTCAATTTCTGGGAAATGAAGGTGGGCTGGTGGGCTTGTGGGGACTATTGGCTGCGAGTGTAATGCTGGGCTTAGCAAACTCTTGGTGATAGTGTGGGTTGACGGTGTTCATGTGCAGCTGGATAAGACGGAGCAGCGCACGCCCGGGTTCTAGTTCAATTTCTGGGAAATGAAGGTGGGTCTGGAAGTGATTTGTTGGGTTTAGCGAATTCTTCTAGTGTGGACTCACGGTGCTCGTTGAAGCTCGATAAGACGGAGCAGCACACCCCCTCAAATACGGTCGTTGTGACAACAAGGCACTGTGTTTCACTCTTCTAACCTCCCCTTCCTCCTTATCACTTCCCATCCCTTCTCCCCCATCGCTCCCCCCAGGGCGTTCCTGTGCGCATCGAGATCGGCCCGCGGGACGTGGCGGCCAATACAGTCGTGACAGCGAGGCGCGACCGCCCGGGGAAGCAGGGGAAACAGTTTGGGGTGTCGATGGACGGCGACGGGCGGGAGCTGGTGTCTCATGTGCAGGCGCTGCTGCAGGAGGTGCAGGATGGCATGCTGGCAGATGCAGTGGCGTTCAGAGACAGCCATATTGTGGAGGTGGCGAGTTATGATGAGCTGAAGGCTGCTATTGCCAACAGCAAATGGGCACGGGGACCCTGGGCCGGCAGGTGAGAGCAGTGGGGCGAGGTGGGGTGGGGTGCGGTGGGGTGGGGTCAGGTAGGGTGGAAAGGGGGGAGGTGCAGGATGGCATGCTGGCGGATGCAGTGGCGTTTAGGGTTAGCCATATTGTGGAGGTGGCGACGAGCTAATGGTGGCAATTGCCAGCAGCAAGTGGGCTCAAGGGCCTGGGCCGGCAGGTGAGAGGGGTGCGGTGGGGTGAGGTGCGGTGAGAGCGGTGAGGCGAGAGCAGCAAGTGGGCGCGCGGGCCCTGGGCCGGCAGGTGAGAAGGCTAGGGAGGGATGGGATGGGGTAAGGTGCGGTGCTGGCAGATGTAGTGGTGTGAAGAGATAGCCATATTGTGGAGGTGGCGTCGTATGAGGGATTGAAGGAAGCCATTGCCAGCAGCAAGTGGGCGCGTGGGCTGTGGGCAGGTAGGTGAGAGCGTTGGGGAGGGGTGAGGTGAGGTGGTGGGGGGGGGGGGGGAGGTGAGGGGCCCTGCGCTGCTGATAATTCGGAAAAGAAAAATCATTTCCTGTTTTTGTTCCTGTATTGCATGCGGCAGTAACGAGGACGAGCAGCGGGTGAAGGAGGAGACAGGAGCCACCCTGCGCTGCTTCCCATTCGAGCCAAAGCTGTCCGATGCCACGTGCTTCTTTACAGGGAAACCTGCCACAGAGCGGGCTATTTTCTCTCGTGCCTACTGAATCATTGTCGAATAAAGCCCTACACGCTGCAGTCAATGCAAGGCTGAGAGTCTAGATACGGTAGAGTTCTAGAAGAAAGTGCCAGGGCTGTTTGTCTTTCAAAACTAGGTTTGGGTGAAAGCTGAAATCTGATGGGAAAGGTGCCTCTGAGAAACCAAGAATCTACGTATTCATGTGGCAATGCCTGAGGGTGTACCTTAGCACAATGAGATATATTATGGATCCCAACCTAAGCATAAACAAAAAAGCCTGGCCAATGAGTAATTTAACTTTTGCACTTGCGTCATTCATTTGCGAAACCCAAAAGGACGAAAGTAGGGAAGGCAGCATCGAATGGACTGGAAGATCATGGTGGGATGCTTCGCAGTTGTGGGCCCTACTATTATTACTCGAGTCCATTTGGCACGTGACAAATCTGGTCAACTGCTGATATATCAGCCGTATCCGATACCATTCGGTTGGCACATGACGTCACTCGGCGTGACAGCATTCTGGACGAGATCGGGCAGCTGAAGAAATTCGAAAGAGAGGGTTTGGCAGTTCAACTGTACTCACTGTACATTTTCTCTGGTCCAAACCGATTTTCAGTTTCTGCCTTTCAGCCAGCCAGTTGTACTGCAGGATTTTATGCATTCCTTGACCAGCTTGTCCATCAGGCATAGCTGCTTGGCTTTATGGAAATATACAAGGACACCTCTTGCAGCTTTTTGCAACAAGTCCTTCATCATCATGTGGTTCCGCGTGTCGCGATCGATAGATTCCACAGGTGTGTGTTCATTCCATCACTGCACCGCAATCCTGTAATGCATTCCCCTGCTGTTCCTTGCTGTCACGAACATTGCAGCTCACCTGGAAAATGGAACTCGGTCCAATCTTCTGAAGGGAATGAAGTCAAATGAGAAACAGCCTTGGGTTAGAATCAAGCGGGCAAGTACCCCGTGAGGTTCCAATGGAAACACTGAAAGCAGTTCAGACTACAGTTTCAATGCTACAAAAATGGGAACGAACTGAGGGACTGTGCAGTGCCTTTTCCAACAGCTGATGACATAAAAACAGACCAATGAGCTCGTGATGGGTTGATGCGTGTTGAAAGACGCTGACTGACCGATTCAACAGAGCAGAATTTGAATTGTTTGAGGTTGCACATATGCTGGGGAGGGGACCATTTGTTGATTGTGTCTGGTTTGAACTGAGAGCGAGCTGGAGTCGACAAAGATAGTGAGGCTGTTGGTTGAGAGAGAAGCAATGCCCTGCCGCTGCTGCTGCTATGTGACGTGGCTCCCAGCATTGCCAGCTCCACGCGATTGTCCTGACGCTTGGCCAATGTTTGGGGGACACGGTATCTATATGAAACCGCAAACTGTGCTGCACCTGAAAAATCATGCACTTCCTTTTTTGTGCACACACCCTTCGGCAACCTGAAAAATGACTGGAATTCCGCGCCGCGAGCTAGCGAGAAAATTACGGAGCGCAAATGCCTCCAAATCGCAATCGGATTCCCTCATGAGACACGACACGGCCTCAGTCGTTTCTGCTCAACTCAGCAAAGCTCAAGTGTATCACGGCAGAATGGTCGCAATGGATTTGATTGAAAAGGATATACCAATATCCACACACAAAGCTCACAAGGGTCACTTAATTTCGGGTAGCTTAGAGTGCGTTCCAGTCCACGAGGAGGTGAGGTACAGAAGTAAAAGCGTGTCCGTGGCACTGTGCCTTCTACACACGCTTAGCAAACTGCTTCAGAAGCCTGTACTGATATTGGAAGGCACTTTATCTTAAGCCTCTCGGGTGCTTTAATACAAATATCAATAAATGTCTGGGGATTTAAATCTGCTACCGAAACTTGCGAGGGTCATCCCAGCAATTAGTGCCCAGCAGAAGTCCATAATCTTGCCATGACTGAGGGTGAAATACCCGAAATCAAGGGCCCTTGTTCAGCATCTCGACTTCCACCCATCCAGACTCCTCGAGTCCACGCTTTTCACACAAACGCTTCTCGTCCTGGCAGGCACAGCGTGGTTAGAAGCAACATTATCAGGCCTCGACTTACCTCTTCCAGCTCTCAGCAGATTTGCGTATCCTCATATCTCAGAGCACTCTGCTGCACCCGTGATTCAAGCGTGATTGTTTCCCGTGAATATTCCGTAGCTGTCGGTACTTGTAGTATGAGCAAGCCCAGCTCATCAAGAGCGAACCGACTAATCTCGAATCCAAGTCGAGATCGTCAAAGCTTAGTGCACGACCATATCGAGACGGAATTGTTGAGAATGCTCCACCGCGACGGACGCGGCGGCGGCGGAAATAGCTCCGGCAACGAGCAACCGCAGCGCCCGTCCGTTGATCTTACTAGCACCACCGGGCTGAACCGTCCTCAGCAATTCAAAGAGCCTTACGGAGAGCTTCGCGTGAAGCCGTCGCACTCGTCGCCGCCGGGCGACCGCAAGGGATTAGTAAAAGCAGAGCGCGACAGCGAAGGCGACCGCGACGACGACGACGACGGCGACGTGAAATTCAGTCGACGACATTCGGAGCCATCGCGTCGCGTTTCATCATCGGCATCGTAAGTTTTCGCGCAGCCACGATTGTCAACGCAATTTGATTTCGAAATCATCAACGAGATGCGTTTTCTCGCGACCGCCGTTCAAAATCAACGTCCGCCGTGCTTTGTTACTCCGATACTAACGGAAAACCCTCCTCACATTGATGATTACCGTGCGATCCCCTGGTCAGATTGAAATCCCGGAAGAAACGCTCATCGCCGGAAATCACGGCGACCCGAGGATGCATCGACATCAACTCAAGCCCAGCGAAGAAGACGAGTCGCGCGAGTCCAACCAAGCGACGACGCGTCGGCGCGAGCGGTCGCACTTCATCCACAGCCGCCACGGCCCATCATGCTAGCAGGGCCGCTTCATTCGCCGCCGCATCAGCCGCTGCAGCCGCCGCCGCAGCCGCCCCCGCCGTGTCTAAAGGAGCAGGACAGACGTCGTCTCAGCTGTCGGACTTGATCAGGCGTCTTCCTTCGCCCACTCGTGAAAGTCGCTGGACTTTTGAAATGAATGCGCAGTTGCGAAGGGAGATGCAGATTCACACCACCACCCCCGTTACTACTGCCACCACCACCGCTGCAGGCCCCACCAATACTGCTGCCGCTCCTCCTGCTGCTGGTGCTCCTGGTGGTGGTTTGGATGCAGCAGCGATAGCTGAAGCCATTATGAGGCAACGAGGGATGGCAACAGTGGCTCAGCGGTTTGCCCACCCTGAGTCCGAGGCTCTAAGTCCGAGGTTTGGGTCCGAGGCTCACGCTCGGAGGTTTGGTTGGCCCGAGGCTTGGACTGAGAGGTTCGGAAGGCCTGAAGCTCACGCTCACAGGCCCGGGTCCGAGCCTTTGAATCGGAGTCTGTACGAAGCAGCAGCAGCATTAGGAGCAGAAGGAGCAGCAGCAGAAGGAAGCACAAGCAGCCTGAGTGGGCAATGCAAACTATCAACATCACATGCTGCAGCATCAGGTGCAGCAGTAGCGGCAGCAGCAACGGCTGCTGCTGCTGCTACTACTACCCGCATCAGTACAATCAGTAGAGCGCTTGGTTCCCTCAAGGTCCGTCGAAGCACCAGCGCTACTGCTCCTGTTGCCACTGCTACTGCTCCTGCTCCTGTTCCTGCTACTGCTCCTGCTCCTGCTAATGCTACTGCCACTCGTTCTGCTGCTACTACTCCTACTGCTACCACTACCACAGCCCCTGCCACGGCCTCTGCCACAGAACGTCACCCGCTGTCCCAACCCCGACCCAACGCGCTTGCCCGAGCAGCAGCAGCGGCAAGCATAGCTCTCCCCAATTTCTCCCTCCTCTCCTCAATCATGGCTGCCGCTGCTGCATCCACAACAGCATCCACAGCAGCATCAACAGCAGCAGCAACAGGAGCAGATCCTCCTTTCCACGCATTCCCGCGCGCACACACAGCGCCTCCTCTTCGCAGCAACCTGGGTGCACCATCTCCCCTTTCCCCTGGCGCTTTCCCCACCTCTGGAGCTAGCATCTTCCCTGCATCCTCCAGTGTGCCTGGGGCCAGGCCTGCTAACCACGGTCCCGACCCTGCAGGTTCGGCGAGCCTTGTAAGTTATCCAGCAAGACGACCCAGCCCATCTGTTGCTGGGGCGGGAGCAGCTGCGGCCGGAGCAACTGCTGGTGCGGAGGCTCGAGCAGGTTCGGTCGGAGCAGGAGTGGCAAGAGCAGGCTCGGCAGGAGCAGGCTCGGCCAAAGCAGGTTCGGCCGGAGCAGCGGCAGGAGGAGTGGCTTCTACGGGCGGCAACAACAGCAGCAGCAACAACGGCAACAATGACGGCATGGGCATGTCAGTGGAGAGTCTGCCAGTGCTGCGAGTGTCATCAGACAGCAATCGCATGGTGGTGCCACGCAGTGCATGGGCTCAGGGACTGGTGGTTGACCATATGCTGGGGCGAGGACCCATGGCTGCTGCCCTTTCAATGCATGATGCTCCTGCTGCTCATGCTCCCATGGCCTCTCCTTCAATCCATGATGCTCCTGCCCTTGCCACCAGTGCATGGGCGCAGGGACTCGTGGTTGACCATATGCTGGGCCGCGGACCCATGGCTGCTGCTCCGTCCATCCATGATGCTGCTGCTGCAACTCCTTTACTCTATGATGCTGCTGCCGCTGCCAACGCTGCTGCTGCCACCGCCGCTGCCACTGCTGCTCCTCCTGCTCCTGCTGCTGCGCCAACATCTCATCCTGCCGCCCCTCCATCCCCCCTCGACACACTGCGACTCTCCACCCACCAAGTCTTCCCACCCGCTCTCCTCGCACACATGCACCTCCTCGCCTTGCAGACAGGCCAACACATGGACCTTCGTGCCTTGCAGACAGGCCAACACATGCACCTTCGCACCTTGCAGGCAGGGCAACACTCGCTCCTCCCCCAAGGATTCTCCCCTTTCCTTGACGCTTCTGCTTTGGGTTTGCTTGGGCCAAGCACAGCTGCGCTACAGCCAGTGGGAGCTGGCACTGTAGGCGAAATGGCAGCCGCTACAGCCGGTCCTTTTTCGGCTGCTGCTTGGGCCACCATCGGGCCAAGCACAGTTGCGCTACAGCCGGCAGGAGCTTGCACTGCGGGAGAAATGGCACCCGCTACAGCCGGTCCTTTTTCAGCTGCTGCTTGGGCTGGGCTTGACAGACAAGCAGCTGCGCTACAGCCAGCAGGATCTGGTACAGGTGGAGAAGTGGCTGGCGTGGGAATAGCAGCCGCTGCAACCTCGCCTTTTTCGGCTGCTGCTTGGGCTGGGCTTGAGAGACAAGCAGCTGCGCTACAGCCGGCTGGAGCTGGTACAGAGGGAGAAACGGCAGGCAGGGGAGCGGCAGCTGCTACAGCCACTCCTTTCCCTAGTGGGGCTGACACACCCACGCTACAAGGGAGGAGCAGTGAGGTCACAAATTTTGGGCCAGGCGCGCTCACGCTACAAGGCAATAGCAGCCAAGGCGTGGAGGCAGAGCGTGGCTCCGGGGGTGAGGATGGGGGAGAGAAGGACGGTGACAGGGAGGAGCAAGAGGGGGTATACATTTTCGGGCAGTTGATATCCCCTCGAACACAATGAAAGTCTGTTTCTGAGGCTCTTCCGGATATTGACTCCTACCGAGCTAACAAGAGGGGGTCTACATGTTTGGCCAGCTGATATCCCCGCAAACACAATAAGATGCTGCTGCAAGCAGCAGCAACTATTTTTCAAGGAAATTGATCCTCAGTTTCGCCAAGAGAAAGGCCATATTATGCATGTTCCTGCCTTGGATCGCATGTGAGATCGCAAATGATAGTGTACATCGTTTCTACCATAGTCCCCCGGATAAAATACCCTAGGGTCTTATGAAAATTTCAAGAAAAAAATCAGGGGGGTCTATATATAGTGTAGCTAATTTTGTAAGACCAGGGTGTACACATAAGTATTTAGTTTTAAATGTTTAAATGAAACACCTGCATGTTGTACATGTTTGCCCCGTTTGTAAAATAGACCCATCCCACGATAATGTGCTCTTCGAGGCTTGGGGGCCACTTCACTGATGAATCTGATTGGGCCTTACTGATTGGCCCAGCGTCGCTGGTTGCCACGACGTCTGATACTGCCGCGATTGATGTGGTCACGGCCAAGCGCGCCGAGCGTTGCCTCCTCGGCAACACCACCCCATGCACGCTGCGTGGGGTGGTGGCACGTCGCCAGAAAGAGCACGGTTTGTTCCTTAGCACATCCAAAGTCACGTCTCTGGCAATAGATGCGCACTCACACGCCGCCATGTTTCTCACCACCTACACGATGATCGCGGCTGCTTAATCTATGCAAGATAAAGAGTCTAGACTTGTGGCACACCTCGTCACTTCCCCGTTTAGCATCCCGCTATCATGGTTACGTCTCCAGATTCAGGGACATCGCACTCGCGTCGCCCTCGCGTCACACCCGTCCGTGAATCCTCGCGTGTTAGGCAGTCGCCGAGGCCTGTGATGCCGACGAACTCTCAATCCTCGAGCTAGACCTCGGGTAGCACTCGTGCCCCTCGATCTCCACTCCCCAAAGTGAAGGTCCCTGTGTTTCCGCAGTCTAGTAGGCCGCAAGGCAAGAAGAAGAGAGTGGTGGACGCTGCCCCTCCCTCGCCTCGCCACCGTATGACGAAGAAGGCGAGGCACGCCTACACAGCCAGGGAAAAGCTTTACTGGCTGGCGATGTTAGACACGTAGCCAGATCTCAGCATTCGTGGCCTGGCGAGGCTCGCCAACATTCAGCCGAAGCAGATACGTGAGTGGCGGAAGCTGAAGGAGCGTCTGCTTGTTTCCGCGGGGTGTCACCGTCGCCTAGTTGGTGCGAGCCGTAAGGCGAAGTGGCCCTTCATGGAGAGGGCTGTGTACCGTAATTTCCTGGTGCACCGCGTTAAGGGACTGCCCGTTTCTGTGAGTATGATCCAGAAGTGGAGTACAACGTACATGACGCAGCGCCACCCAAGGGTGGACTGGCGCGCCTCAAACCGCTAGACTTGGCGCTTCCGCGTCAGGTGGTCCTTAAGCGAAGCGTGTGAAGATGAAAATGGGACAGAAACTAGCCGACGGTGAGCACCCTGTTGTCTCGTCGCACGTGGTCTCACGAATTCACAGTCACTCACACCATTTCCGTTGATGTTACATGCAGATTGCAAGGCTAAGGTGGAGTCCTTATGGGAATTCGTGAGGCAGATGCGCGTTCTCAACGGCTACCCGGCCACTTTGATTGTCAATGCCGACCAGACACCCCTCTTCCTCGAGATGCCGACGGAGCGGACTCTCGAGATGAAGGGTGCGCGCATAGTGCACGTTCGTACCGCGGGGTACGAGAAGGAGCGCGTCACTGTCATGCTGGCAGTGACGGCTAGCGGGATGAAGCTCCCGCCGTACGTTGTGTTCAAGCAAAAGACCCTGCCCAAGATTCAAGTCCCTAGAGGTGAGTGGTCTTCAGTACCGAGCTTCGTTTCCCCTTCCCGTGATGCAATGAGCTGTCTAACACGGGCGTTGTTGAGTGGGCAGGTGTCGTGATCCGCGCTCAGACAAGAGGCTGGATGGACGAGAGCTTGGTCGAGGACTGGATCTCCCAAATGCTGGTCCCGTTCTTGCGGCCGTTGAGGGACGAGGGCGGCAGCCGCAAGGATGCGCTACTGGTGCTAGACTCCTACAGGGGCCACCTCACCGAAGGAGTCGGCCAAACGATGCGCCTCTTCAAGATCACTTGTGCAGTGATCCCTGGTGGCTGCACCCCGCTGGTGCAACCCCTCGACGTGTCGATAAACCGCGCATTCAAAGCGGGGATCCACCACCGTTACTCAACCTGGTTCGAGGAGGATGGAATCACCTTCAAGACGCCCGCTGGTGAGTCCCCGTCCCCACTCCGAGCCAGTGTGCACCTCGCCAGTTTTCTCCCCACTGACCTCGCACCCCTTGCTCTTGGTTGCCACTCGCAGGCAGGGCTGACGTTTCATTTTAAGCCTCCCTGATTCCGGGGAAAAATTTCTCCCTCTATTATGGGTGCACATTTTCCAGAAAAGCAGTACCCTGATTGCTCAGGGTTGTAAAGTAGCTAACTCTGATTGTTCAGGGTCAAGAACTGAACATCAGAGTAGTAACGCGCGCTTTGTTACCGGGGAGAAAATCCCCACCATCCATAAAGTCTGCGCGCTGTGTTTCCCGCTGGCTGTACACTCGACTGATTTGTGCAGGGCGGGTGTGATTGACCTATCTGGCGTGCGAGTGTAACGTTTCCCTGTCTTACCATGCCCAATCGGATCTCTTCAGATGGCATGCATCAGACATGCTGCGACTGTAGTTAGTCACCCTCAGAGGCGTTCCTTCTGGAGCGAGTGTAACGACCGAACGGGCGAGTCACACCTGTTCGAGTCAAAAATTTCCGCTGTCAGAGCCTATTTCGACCAATCCCAGCAAAGTATATCTGACATTGCAGATTAGCGCGATCTCGATGGTAGGTGTATCAGAACGAAGTTTCGAAGAAACTTCTTCTCGATAAAGAGGGAAGGGGGGGGATTACGCACATGTGGGGGGATCACTGCGATCAATCCAAGGCGGGGTCATCGGAGGGAAACTTCCGAGAAACTTCCTCTCGATAAGTCACAGAGTCGATACTCTGTTAAGTCGGGGTCCACTAACAGCCTAGTCTGTTACAATGTACTCAAAATCAGGGATAGCTAAACTATTACTCTGATTGGATCAGGGCTGAAAATTCATTAACTCTGAAATTTCAGACTCCACGAAGTGGAAAGCCTGGAATCACCCTGAAATCAGGGTAATTACCCTGATAAAATCAGCCCTGCTCGCAGGCAACCTGAAGAAGCCCCCCCCCCCCGAACTCGTACTCAGGTGGATCGACGAGTCCTGGGCCGACGTTCCTGAGGAGTTGGTGAGGAAAGCATTCCTCACCTGCGGGATCATCTGATCCTCGTTCATCTGCGGGACAAGGCGGAGGTGGAGGTGCTTGAGGATGTGCAGGAGGAGGAGATGGAGGAGCTCATCCCCAACCCCTTCTACCCCGACCTCGCTGTCGCCCCCGCTGATTCGTACGTAGGAAGATGGCTAGATAACGTGCTACAATGCACCCGGATAATTAGTAGACTAATGAAAATCATGCGAAAAAACCCTTCCCGTGGAAAAGGGGGGTCTTGTATAGATTTCACCCAAAATGGGGGGTATAACTCGAACATACCGTAATAAAAGACCCCACCCCGTATTAAAGACCCGGGGGTCTTTAACTGCGGGGGGTCTTTTATCCGGGTGATTACGGTATGTACACGTTGTGTGATAAACCCGTGCTTGTTATTTATAAGAATAAATAAACACATGTTGCCAGTGCTGCTAAATGCGCCCAGACTTGCGTTGCTAAATAATGCATGCGGAGAATCTTTTGTTGATCATTCTAGGTACCCTGTAGTGCATAGCAAGGAGGAAAGACTTTTGAGTCGACTCAAAAGTCATCCTGTATTGCTATGAAATGCACACAGAAACTTTTGCTGACCAAACTACCAATAATGCACAGGTGGGAGGGAAGCATGGGTGCTGATTTGACGACGCGAAATAACACCATGGACACCTGAGTACAAGGTTAGAGCGAACATGGCCAGGCATTTTTTTTTAATTCGACAAATATACACCCAGCCGCTTGACATTTGTCGAGATAAACAAACGTTAGGCCAGATTCAACCAAGGCGGGGCTGAAATGGCGCAGGGCTTAACTGTGCTTCCCTATTGAGGCACCTCAAGAACGAAAGGTATTCAATAGCAAGAACAAATAGAAAATAATAGGCTTGTGGAGGTATAGTCCATTCAGACAACACAACACATGTCAACACTTGATTGCGTGATTATATAGTCTTGGTGCATTGAGGAAGCGAGAAAAGCAAGCAAGCTGGCGGGAAGAGCAAGAGACATACCGGTACCATATGATACAGGTGGTGAGGAGATGAAGTGGCCCACTGGCCGGACGGACATGCCTCATGCACACCCTCATGCATGCCTGCTCCCAGACGCTCAGCAGTCAGCCGCAGGAGGAGGAGCAGGAGGCGCAGCAGCAGCTACAGGGTATTTAGCCATGAGTCCGAGCAGAGTGCGGGACATGGAGAGCATGGTCGATGGGTTTGGTGAGATAAGTGTCAATGCCCACATCCAGGCACTTGCAGTGGTCGCTGGTCATGGCGTGTTGGAAATTGATTGCTGCCAGGCACTCAGGAATCAGCAGCAGCGGCAGGAGGAGGAGCAGCAGCAGCAGCTACGGGGTGTTTCGCCATGAGGCCTAGAAGAGTGTGGGACATGAGTGCAGGATCGATGGGTTTGGTAAGGTAAGCATCCATGCCCGCATCCAGGCACTTGCGGTGATCGCTGGTCATGGCGTGGGCTGTGAGGGCCACTATGGGCGTGTGGAAAGGTGTGTCCACCTCTCCTGCCCTGATGGCTGCTGTGGCTCCATACCCGTCCAGCACAGGCATCTGGTGGGCCGGGGGGAGGAAGGAGGAAAGGGGTAGGGCAGAAGGGGGAGAGGGGAAAGGAGGGACGAAAGAGAGGGCGTGACGGAGGAAGGGAAAAGAAGGAGGGTGGGAGAAGCAAGGAGGCACCACTTGCGGTGGTTGGTTGCTGGTCATGGCGTGGGCTATGAGCGCCACTACGGGCGGGTGGAAGGGCGTCCCCGCCTCCCCTGCCCTGATGGCTGCTGTCGCCCCATACCCGTCCAGTACAGGCATCTGGGGGGGAGGAGGAAGAGGGGCAAGAGAGGGAGAGGGGATGCCCGCACTTTAGATCCACCTCAGAAGTCACCTTGTTGCCTGCCTCCCCCACTCTGATGGCTGCTGTGGCTCCATACCCGTCCAGCACAGGCATCTGCAAAGGGGGGAGGAAGGGGGAGTGGGGAGTGGGAAGGGGGTGCGGACATTTTATATTCAAGGGGGAGTGCTCATGCAAGCACACGTACACGCACCCACTCACGCACCCACTCACGCACCCACTCACGCACCCACTCACGCACCCACTCACGCACCCACTCACGCACCCACTCACGCACCCACTCACGCACCCACTCACGCACCCACTCACGCACCCACTCACGCACCCACTCACGCACCCACTCACGCACCCACTCACGCACCCACTCACGCACCCACTCACGCACCCACTCACGCACCCACGCACGCACCCACTCACGCACCCACTCACGCACCCGCGCACGCACCCACTCACGCACCCACTCACGCACCCACGCACACATGCGCGCGCACACACACACACACATACGCACAGACATACATCTAGTGGCAAGCTCACTCACCTGGCAATCCATGAGCACCGCATCGAACCGCCCCATATTGCTGGCGTAGGTGGCCAACACTGCATCCACTGCCTGCTGCTCGTCACACACTCTCGATCACCCACGCCCACTCACCTAGAAATGCATGCAGCCTCCCACGCATACATGCCTGAAGGAAACCAGCACAGCAGTACAGACACAGACACAGACACGCACACGCACGCACGCACGCACGCACCCGCGCACGCACACACGCGCGCGCCCACACACACACACACACACGCACGCACGCACGCACGCACGCACGCACGCACGCACGCACGCACACACACACACACACACACACACACACACACACACACACACACACCTGGCAATCCATGAGCGCCGCATCGAACCGCCCTGCATTGCTGGCATAGGTGGCCAACACCGCATCCACTGGCTGCTGCCCGCCAGAACCACACCCACACACTCTCACTCGCACGCCTGAATGCATGCACACACACACGCCCACGCATGTCTACAGGCCATCAGCAGCACACGCACCTGGCAATCCATGAGCACCGCATCGAACCGCCCTGTGTTGCTGGCGTAGGTGGCCAGCACCGCATCGACTGCCTGCTGCCCGTCACACACCGCCTCCACCTCACAGCCTAGCTTCTGCATTCGGATTATGGCCACCTGGTGTGCAGGGGAGTGGGGAAGATGGATGGGGAAGAGCAGTGGGAGGAAGGGGAGTGGAGAGGAGGGAGAGCATTTGGCCTGATACCCGCCTCCACCTCACAGCCCAGCTTCTGCATTCGGATTATTGCCACCTGATGGGGTGGGGGGAGAGAAGGGGAGTGGGGACGAGGAGGTAGAGCGAGAGGATTGGCGTGCTGCCCGTCACACACCACCTCCACCTCACATCCCAGCTTCTGCATTCGGATTATTGCCACCTGATGGGGTGGGGGGAGAGAAGGGGAGTGGGGACGAGGAGGTAGATCGGGAGGATTGGCGTGCTGCCCGTCACACACCACCTCCACCTCACAGCCCAGCTTCTGCATTCGGATTATTGCCACCTGATGGGGTGGGGGGAGAGAAGGGGAGTGGGGACGAGGAGGTAGAGCGAGAGGATTGGCGTGCTGCCCGTCACACACCACCTCCACCTCACAGCCCAGCTTCTGCATTCGGATTATTGCCACCTGGCTGGGCGGAGGGGGGACTGGGAGAGGGTAATGGAGGAATGGAATGGCAGGGAGGGAGGGGAGCGAATGGGAAGAAGTAGCAGGAGAGGATTGGCGTGCTGCTGCCCGTCACACACCGCCTCCACCTCACAGCCGAGCTTTTCATGTGAATTATGGCCACCTGGCTGGGTGGGAAGGGGAAGGCCAGCCATTAACGCATCATCATCCACAATATCACGCCACTTCCCACCACCTCACCTCGCGCAGCAGAGCGGTGACTTCAGCAGACAGCACCCGCTTCCCTGCCAGCAGACAGCACCCGCTTCCCTGCCAGCAGACAGCACCCACTTCCCTGCCAGCGCAACGCACTTCCTACCCCACCTCTCCCCTAACACATCGTTCGACGTCCACCACCACGTTACGACAGCACTGCTTGCCTGCCAATGCGATTTCCCACCATCTCACTTTGGTTTTGAGACGTCTCACCTCCCTCATCGCCACACTCCTTCCTTCACGCCACCTCACCTTGCGCAGCAGAGCCGTGTCTTCGGCAACCAGCACCCGCTTGCCCACCAGCTCGTTACCAACCGCACCCATCTGCTAACCCAGCATCAACCACATCAAGACCCTATCTTCCACTGCCTCCTCACCTCACCATCCACCTTTCTCAGCACAGCGCTTTATCCGCCCCACCAGTGCCTCACCTTGCGCGGCAGAGCTATGTCTTCAGCAATTACCACCTGCTTGCCCACCAGCATGTAACCTACCCCACCCGTCCGCTAACAGGTCATTGACCGAATTGCCACATTATCTCCTGTTGCTAATTCGCCCCACCACCACCTCACCTTGCGCAGCAGAGCCGTGTCTTCAGCGATCAGCACCCGCTTGCCCCTCAGCGCGTTGTCAAACGAGCCCTCAGAGAAGGACGCCTGGGGGAAGAGAGGGGAGGGGAGTGGAAGGGAACATGGGAAGGGGCGGAGAGGAGAGGCTGAGAGAAGGAACTGAGGAGGATGGGGGAGACCATTTCTGAGGCGCATCACAAGCTGCTAACGTGTTCGCAGACAGGCCCTCAGAGAAGGATAACTTGGGGGAGGGGAGTTGTGGGGGGGTGGGGGAGAACATTCGAGGCACGGGGAAGACTTTTGAGGTGCCTCAAAAGACGAATTTTGAGGCGCCTCAAAAGGGGAGGGGAGTTGTGGGGGGGTGGGGGAGAACATCCGAGGCACGGGAAAGGAGGGGCGGAGGGGGGGGCCTTCTGGGTTCACCCGAAACCCCAAAAAGAAAAGAAACAAGATAAAAGGAGGGACGGAGGGGGAGGGGGGGTGCCAGAGGGAGAAGGGAATGGAGCATAGGGAAGGGGGGAGAGGGGGGGAGAGGGGGGGGGGAGCGGGGAAGGGGCATGGAGAGAGGGGGAGGGGAGGGGGTTTTAGGGTGAGAGGCACAGGCACTGACCCCTTTCTTGAGCCTGCTGTTGACTGGCCGTGTCCTCCCTGACCGCGAGCCAGGAGACGACTCCAACACCCCCCCTGCTGCTCCCGCTGCTCCCGCTGCTGCTGCTGGCCGTCCGGGCCCCAGCGAGGCAACACCAGCAACACCAGCATGAGCACCAGCACCAACTATTGAAGAAGTGTTTTGAGACGTCTCAAAACACTTCTTCAATCACCCTGCTGCTGCTGCTGGCCGTCTGGGCCCCAGCGAGCCAACAGCAGCAGCACCAGCATGAGCAGCACCACCAACTCTAGCACCCTTGGGAGGTTGATCCCCCCCAGTTCACCCAAAGGGCCAGAAAACAAAAGAGGAGAAGAGAAAAGGAAAAGAAACGAAGGAGCACTGACCCCTTTCTTGAGCCCGCTGTTGACTGGCCGCGTCCTCCCTGACCGCGAGCCAGGAGACGACTCCAACACCCCTGCTGCTCCCGCTGCTCCTCCCTGCGCAGGAGAGCCAGTACCAGCACCAGCACCAGTAGCACCGTCACTTAGGGCCGGGCCGGGGCCTTCCACACTCGCCGCCGAGGGAATCGGGGGCCGGCCGGAAGGGAGGCCGTGTGGGGAGGCAGCAGCAGCAGCGTGGGGGGAGGGGAGGGGGGGTCCGCGACCCGAGGGAGGCGGGTACCCAGACACAGCCGCTCCCCCCCCACCAGCGGTAGAACCACCAGCGGCAGAACCAGCAGCGGTGGCGGTAGTGGGGGTGGAGGCGGAGGGGCGAGGACAGGGGGAGAAGGGGACGGAGACGGCAGCCGTGTTGCGCAGCGTTGTGGATGAGGCTGCTGGGGAGTCGGCTGACTCGTCCTCCTCTGCTGGCACTGGCAGCCCCCACGCCTGGTGGATGGGGGAGGGGGGGAGAGCGGGAGTGAGTGGCACCGGCAACGGAAGCAGCAGCGGCGGCGGCAGCAGCAGCACAGAAACAACAAGACTTGTCAGAGGAAAGACAGCACTTACCTGCTCGTTGGACTCACCATGATGCCATTGCCAACCAACCACACCGCCCTTTCAAGATGGCTTCTGAGTCGACTTGGAAGTAACCAAGGCTTTCCAACCAAAGAGTAGCAACAGCGTTGCCAAGAGAACTCAAACCACATTACTCTCACCTGCTCGTTCCCCTCGCCATGATGCCACTGTGAACCCCCCCCTTCACCTCCCCCCTCCCCCCCTTGCCTGCCCCTCCCACGGACGTGCGCGGCATGTCAAACTGCGAGCTCGAGTGCGGCACGCTGTTCCTGGCCGTGGCGAGGGCGAGGAGACAAAACCCTATACTCTCACTCACCTGCTTGAGTGCGGCACGCTGTTCCTAGCTGTGGCGAGGGCCAGCAGAGAAACTACTAGCCAGCAGAGGGTGGCAAAAAGTACTGGCCAGAGAAACCAAACCACTATACTCTCACCTGCTCGTTGGGCTCTCCATGATGCCACTGCGAGCCCCCCCCTTCGCCTCCCCCATCTGCCCCTCGCCCACCCCTCCCACCAAACGTGCGCGGCATGTCAATTTGCGAGCTCGAGTGCGGAACACTGTTCCTGGCAGTGGCGAGGGCGAGGAGAGGGGCCATGCGCGACGCATAGAGGGGCTTGGACGCCACTGCACACCCCGACCTGCGTATAAAGGGTGTTGGGAAAGGAGCGGCGGGAGCGGGGGGCAATGAACTGATGCACGCTGGGCACAATGAACATTACACCCCTCTACCACCGCCGCCAGCATCAGCTTCCATACCAACCTGCTTGCTGCCCTGCCTGCTTGCTGCCCTGCCTGCCTGCTGCCTGCCTGCCCTCCAGAACCTACCGTATGTCTGAGATCTCTTACCGTCTGAGAGCCCTCCTGGTCCTGGTATCTGCCGACGTGTTGTGCTCCACGAGCCACGCAATCACGAACCCCTGGTGCTACAGGCGAGCGCGGAAGATGTGAAGCTCCTCGGCGATGAACTGGTGCACGCTGGGCACGATGGCCACGTCTATCACCGCCAGCATCAGCTTCGATGTTGCCTGCCTGCTGCCCTGCCTGCCTGCCCGCCTGCTGCCTGCCCACCTGCTGCCTGCTGCCTGCCTGCCAGAACCTACCGTCTGTCTGAGAACTCTTACCTCCTGAGCGCGCGCCGGGTGTCAGCGGACGTGTTGTGCTCCACGAGCCACGCGATCACGAATCCCTGGTGTTGCAGGCGTGCACGAAATATATGGAGTTCTTCCGCTATGAACTGGTGCACGCTGGGCACGATGGCCACGTCTATCACCGCCAGCATCAGCTTCCATGCCGGCCGGACTGTTGACGAGGACGAGGAGCCTACCTTCCATACTCACCTGCCTGCCTGCCTGCCTGCTGCCCTGCCTGCCTGCCTGCCTGCCTGCCTGCCTGCCTGCCTGCCTGCCTGCCTGCCTGCCTGCCTGCCTGCCTGCTGCCCTGCCTTCTCGGAGCCTACCTTCTGAGCGCCCTCCTGGTATCCGCCGAGGTGTTGTGCTCGACCAACCACGCGATCACGAACCCCTGGTGCTGCAGGCGCGCGCGAAATATATGGAGTTCTTCCGCTATGAACTGGTGCACGCTGGGCACAATTGACACGTCTATCACCGCCAGCATCAGCTTCGATGCCGGCCGGGCTGTAGAGGAGGAGGAGGATGCTTGGGCTGCTGCTGAAGAAGGAGGGGAGGCTGGGATGAGCCGGGATGGGGATGCCGGGACGACCCGGGAAGGGGATGCGGCAGAGAGGAAGGATCCACGGGAAGCTGTGGCAGCAGCGGGAGCAGCACCAGCAGCAGCAGCAGCACCAGCAGCAACACCACCAGCACCAGCGCCACCAGTGTCAGCACCTTCTGATTCAACCGCAGCAACAGCGGCGGCGGCAGCAGCAGCAATCGAGCCATCCTTGTCCGACCCCACGCCCCCCGCCCCCCCTCTCCCTCCAAGCAACCCCGCTCCGAGCGACCGCGAGCCAATGCTCTCATGAGCTAACGGCCCACTCAACAGACCCTGCTGCTCCCTGCCCATTGTCCCGTCAAAGGACAGCGATGCGAGACCATTGGGGGGCGTGCCTAGCGCACCACCAGCAGCAGCACCAGTGCCAGCGGGACCGGCATCAGCAGAAGCGAGTGGGGTGGTGGTGGAGGCAGAGCCGTGGCTGGAAAAGGAGGGATCCTGGTCTGAGCCACGGCTGCTACCCTGCTTCTCCAGTGACCGACGGGACTTGGTGCTCAGACCACGCCCCAGCAACCTGCTGCTGCTGCTGCCAAAACTCTTCACCATCCCCATCGCCCTCCCTCCCGCAAACCCTCCTCCTCCCCCTCCTCCTTTCCCCCCTTCCGCCCCCTCCCCCGCTCCCCCATCCCCAACCTCCCCCTCCTCGCTGTCACCGAAAGTGCTTGCAGCAGCAGGGCTGCCAAAGCAGCGCCCAGGGCTGCTCAGAATGCGCCCGTTGCCCAGAGGATGGGAGGGCGAGGGAAGCCGGTTCCAAACCTCTCTCTGCCCCTGCCCAGGTGCGCCTGATTCAGATACCACCTGCCCCATCTGCACCTGCATAGGCCCTGACAGGGGGGTCTGATCAGGGGTGAAAGGTCTAGGGGAGGTCCCACCTGTCCCCCCTCCCCCTTCCCCTCCCCCTCCCCCAGGTCCGCCTGGCACTGCTGCTACAGCCGCTGCCACAGCTGCTGCTACAGCAGCGGGGGATGGCACCACAGGTACTGGTAAGGAGTCGTGGGATCGAGGGGAGGGGCTGCGCCAGCCTACAGCCGACCTCGCTTTATCCACCATCGGACTGAACCCACCCGCACCACTCCCAACACCACCACCACCTCCACCACCACCACCATTGCTGCTGCTGCCACCACCACCGGCGCCAAAACTACCACCTCCCACTCCTCCTCCCCCCACCACTCCACCCGCAGCAGCAATCCCCCCTCTCTCCCCCTTCTCCCCTCCCCTCTCCCCCTTCTCCCCTTTCTCCCCTTTCTCCCCCTTCTCCCCTCCTCCTCCCCCTCTCAGAGCTGTGAAGCTGCGCATGAGCGGAGCAGAGAAGCCCACGAGGGAGCGCGAGGCGCGGGGGGGCTGCGAGGCGGCCGACTTCTGGATCAGTATGGAGGCGACAGCTGGCATGATCTCCTGCCACGTGTGCGCACGCCACACCTTGAGCTTGCGGCGCTCCATCCAGGCGGTGGCTATGGCCGCCCCGGCGCTGTCTTCCTTCATTGCAAGCAGCACCTGATGTAATGAGGAGAGAGAAGGTGGGAAAAGAAGACTTGCAGGCAGAGTGAGCACTACCTCTTGAGGCTTGGGCTCCACACTTTGAGCCCGCGCAGCTCCATCCAGGCTGTGGCAATGGCTGCCAAGGCACAGTCCTCCTTCATTGCCAGCAGCACCTGAGAGGCGCGAAGAGAGAGAGGAGAAGCGGTGGGATGAGGGATGAGGGAAGGGGGGGGATGGAATGGGAAGTGAGAGAGAGGAGTCTGTGGCACAAGCAGTTGAGATGGCTGCTCCTACACTGTCCTCCCCTGGAAAAACCTGCTGCAAGAAGCAAGTCAATCTGCAGAGCAATAAAACAACACAGGATACAAATTAGACAACCATTGAATCCACCCTCCCCCTCTCTTGCCCCCAGTTCCCACCCTCCCTCCACCACCCCCTTCCTTACCTACCCTCCCTCCCACCCCCCCTCCTCCTCACGTGCCAAACCCCCCATTCCTCCTCACCTGCCCGCCCTCCACGGCAGTCAGCTTGGGCAGCAGCAGCTCCGGCTGAAGCATACTGTTGTGCCACCCTCCACCGCCCTCCACCGCTTCAAACCGCATGTCGAAGCGGAACCGCGCCCCCTGCCCATCCTTGTCCACCACGGCTATTGACCCGCCCATCAGATTCACCTGTTGTTACATGGGGTTACAAGCGGGGTCACAAACAGGGACGGGTTTACAAATGGGGTGACAAATGAGATTTACTGTTACACTCATATAAATGTGGTCATGCATGGTAAAAGGACCACAGTGACCACATGTGAAACACCTTTTGAGGCGCCTCAAAAGACACTCATATACATGTGGTCATGCATGGTAAAAGGACCACAGTGACCACATGTGAAACACATGACCCCTTTGGTGCCTTGTGCAAAAACTTTTGAAAAAAAAAAGGGACTTTGCTCAATTAAGATGGAATGTAAGGGGTAATGCATTACTTATGAAACAAGGAAGGGTGGGATAGGGGCAACGCAAAAGGAACAACAAACCAAGCTGGGAGGATGTATGCAAGAAGAGAAGGAAAAACGTGGAGGGAAAAGCTGGGAAACGGGAAGGGGAAGGGAGAGGAGGAGGTAAAGGAGACAGGGAAGGGGAAGGGGATGGGGTAGGGGAAGGGGAAATGGAGAGGGATGGCAGGGAGCAAGTAAACGTATGGGGTGGCTTACCAGGGAGCGAACTATTCCCAGACCGAGCCCTGGCACAGCAAAGAAACACATGGGAGCAGGATGGTGGCAGGGTGGGAAGGATGAATGAAATGGTGAGTGAGAGCAGCGGAACGGTGGGAAGGATGAATGAAATGGTGAGTGAGACCAGCGGAACGGTGGGAAGGATGAATGAAATGGTGAGTGAGACCAGCGGAACGGTGGGAAGGATGAATGAAATGGTGAGTGAGAGCAGCGGAACGGTGGGAAGGATGAATGAAATGGTGAGTGAGACCAGCGGAACGGTGGGAAGGATGAATGAAATGGTGAGTGAGACCAGCGGAACGGTGGGAAGGATGAATGAAATGGTGAGTGAGACCAGCGGAACGGTGGGAAGGAAGGACTTTGCATCGGGAGGGTGGAACAGATCAGCCTGCTAGAAGTTTTCAGAGATGAATGTGTTGTGTGCCATTGTAACGAGGTGACTTTTGAGTCGACTCAAAAGTCACCTCGTTTTTTAGTCGACTCAGAAGTCACCTCGTTACTTTGCATCGGGAGGGAGGGTGGAACACATCAGCCTGCTAGAAGTTTTCAGAGACGAACTCCCTCTTGTACACCGGGATGCCTGGCCTGGCCCCCACCAGTCGCACACAAGTGGAGGCCAACCCCACCCCACGCCACACCACTCCACCCACCTTTCCAACTCACCTGTGCCACCGTGTGTGCGGGCAGTGGAAACGTCAGCTTGCTGGAAGTTCTCAAAGATGGACTCCCGCTTGTGCACGGGAATGCCCGGCCCCGTGTCATCCACCTCAAACATGAACGCCACTGTGCGCCGCCCCTTGCCGCCCACCTGCTGCTCCCCTCCCACCCCTCCCACCCCCGCCCCCACCCCTCCTCCCCCTGCGTCTGCTGCTGTATTGTCCACATCACGACTCTTGGACCTGCTGTGCCGCCTGCTGCTGGGGGAGAAGGGATGGGGAGGAAGGAAGGGCAGAGAGGAGAGAAGGCAGAGAGGGGAGAAGAGGGAAGGAGAGTAAGGAGGAGGGATGCCCGGCCCCGTGTCATCCACCTCAAACATGAACGCCACTGTGCGCCGCCCCTTGCCGCCCACCCTGCTCTCCCCCCCACGCCCGCCCCCGCCACTCCCGCTGCTCCCGCTGCGTCTGCCTCTGTGCTGTTGGCATCGCGGCTCTTGGACCTGCTGTGGCGCCTGCTGGAAGAGGAATGGGTGTTGGGGAGGGGAGTGGGGGTTGCGGAGCGAGGGATATGGGGATGGAGGAGGGATATGGGGATGGAGGAGGGATATGGGGATGGAGGAGGGGATGATAGTGGGGAGAAGAGAGAGGGAGCAAGAGTGAGAGGGGGGAAGGGGGAAGGGGGAAGGAGGTTTAGGAGGGATGCCCGGCCCCGTGTCATCCACCTCGAACATGAACGCCACTGTGTGCCGCGCCTTGCCGCTGCCTGCCACACCCTGCTCCCTTCCCACCCACATCCCTCACCCCCCACCCCCTCACTCCTTCCTCACTCCGCACGCACCTCTCCCCCCACTCCCTTGCTCGTCTTCCCCGAAATGGAAAGGTCCTGCTTGGCTGGCTCACTTTAACCCCCCCCTCCCTTCCCACCACCTCATTGCTTCCTCACTCCACTCTTTCCCGCACCAACTCACTTGCCCTTCTCCCCCGGGATGGAGAGGTCCTGCTTGGCCAGCTGAGGGGGGGGGCTGTCCCGCACCCACCCCCTCAGTCTCTCACTCCCCCACCTGATGTCGCCGTATCTCCCTCCCTCAATCCCTCCCCCTTGCACTCACTTGCCCTTCTCCCCTGGAATGGAGAGGTCCTGCTTGCCCAGCTGAGGGGGCGGCCTCTCCCACACCCACCCCTCAGTCTCTCACTTCCAACCCTCCCTCCCTCCCTCCCCCTCCCCTCCCCTCACTCACTTACCCTTCTCCCCCAGGATGGAGAGGTCCTGCTTGGCCAGCTGCAGAGGCGGCCTGTCCCGCACCCACCCCCTCGGACCTCGGTCTCACACTCCCCCACCTGATGTCGCCGCATCTCCCTCCCTCAACCCCTCCCCTCCCCTCACTCACTTGCCCTTCTCCCCCGGGATGGAGAGGTCTTGCTTGGCCAGCTGCGGGGGCGGCCTGTCCCGCACCCACCCCCTCAGTCTCTCACACCCCACCCCCTCCCTTCCCCTCCCCGCACTCACTTGCCCTTCTCCCCCGGGATGGAGAGGTCCTGCTTCGCCAGCTGCGGGGGGGGCCTGTCCCTCACCCACCCCCTCACCACCACCTGCCCGTTCTTGGTGAACTTGCACGCATTGCTGAGTAGATTCGCGAACACCTGAGAGTGGAGAGGAGGGGTGGGGAGAGAAGGCGAGGGGAGGCACACAGCACAGTGCATGAGGAGGGAGAAAGACGGGCCTCCACCACCTGACCGATCTTGGTGAACTTGCACGTGTTTCTTAGGAGTGTAATGAGTCGTGTTTCTTAGGAGTGTAACGAGTCGTGTTTCTTAGGAGTGTAATGAGTCGTGTTTCTTAGGAGTGTAATGAGTCGTGTTTCTTAGGAGTGTAATGAGTCGTGTTTTGAGTCGACTCAAAACACGACTCGATCTTGGTGAACTTGCACGCGTTTCTTAGGAGATTTGCGAACAAATGGGAGAGAGGGAGAGGGAGGCGAAGTGGTTGGGAGAAAGGAGATAGCTGAAACAAGAGGTAAGTGTGGTGTTGGAGTGGGAGGAGTGGGATGGGCCACTGCAGCATGAGATGCAAGAGAGAACGGGCTGGGGAGGGAAAACCAAGTGTTTTGGAGGAGAGGAAACAACGGGACTGAAGAAAGTGGAAACACAGGGGCAGGAGAAAGCCAGGAAGAGGGTGGGCGTTAGTGTGTGGAGATGGAGAAAGTGAGGAAGAGGGTGGGGTGGGGGTAAGTGTGTGGGGTGGAAAGCGGGGAGGAGGGCAGGTGGCACGTGGAAGGCGCGGGGCACATGTCATGGCAGGTCCGAACCTGTCTGACGCGAGACGGGTCGCCCTTGACCGTCCGATCGATGTCGTCAGAGAGATCAAGGGCGATCTCGGTGCCGTTGCTGAGCCCCTGCACACTGAACATGTCCACCAGCGACTCGAGCTCGCCCACTATGTCAAACTCGAGCACCTCCAGCTGCATCTTGCCTGCCTCCACCTGTCACACACACACAGGGGTGCAAACACAGAAAAGAAGAAGAATGACAAGTGACTCGAGCCGTTTCTGAGCCCCTGCACACTGAACATGTCCACCAGCGACTCGAGCTCGCCCACTATGTCAAACTCCAACACCTCCAGCTGCATTTTACCCGCCTCCACCTGACAAGCCAAGAACGAAGGCACATATCCGCACAAGTGTGACAATGTAAGTATGGGGTTTGAATCAACCAGTTTCTCGAGATCGCCCACTATGTCAAACTCCAACACCTCCAGCTGCATCTTGCCCGCCTCCACCTGTGATACTCGCACGCACACACACACACACACACACACACACACACACACACACACACACACACACACACACACACACACACACACACACACACACGCGCACGCACACACGCACCCACACACACACACACACACACGCACACACACACACACACACACGCACACACGCACACACACACGCGCGCAAACACACATGCACACACACACACACGCACGCACACACATACGCACCCCCACACACACACACACACACACACACACACACGTACAAACACAGGCAACAGCCAGAATGCGAAGTGACTTGAGATCGCTCCACTATGTCAGGACTCAGAATTACCACCTCCAGCTGCATCTTACCCGCCTCTAAACCTGTCACACACTCGTGCACACAGAAGCACTACAGATAGATAGCACACACATTGATGCTTAACATGATATCTTTATATATATATTTGTGTACATTTATATACATTGGGGGTAAGGTAAGGGCAATTGAAAGGCGGTGGAGGCACCTTGGCAAGGTCGAGCAGGTTGTTGAGGAGCCCGAGGAGGGAGGCACAGCAGGACTTCATCAGAATGGGATTAAGGGCAAGGGAGTGGTGGTAGTGGCACCATGGGGGGTAAGGTAAAGGCAAGGGGGGGGGGGGGGTGGAGGCACCTTGGGGAGCAAGGTAAGGGCAACGGAATGGTGGTGGTGGTGGTGGCACCTTGGCAAGGTCGAGCAGGTTGTTGAGGAGCCCGAGGAGAGAGGCACAGCAGGACTTCATCTGGCGCAGATTGGCCTCCTGCTCCGATGACAGGTGGTCGCACAGCATGATGTCCAGTAGGCCTAGAATGCTGAGGGCGGACGGGAAGGAGGGGGGGGAAGATTGGGGAAGACGAGGAGAGGCAGCACAGCACAGCAGGACTTCATCTGGCGCAGATTGGCCTCCTGCTCCGATGACAGGTGGTCGCACGGCATGATGTCCAGCAGACCCAGAATTCTGCAGACAGGGAAGGAGGGGGAGAAATGGGGGTGGGTTTCGAGACACTCAACAATCTTCTCCGATGACAGGTGGCCGCACAGCATGATGTCCAGCAGACCCAGAATTCTGCAGACGGGGAAGGAGGGGGAGAAAGGGGGGCGGGTTTCGAGACACTCAACAATCTTCTCCGATGACAGGTGGCCGCACAGCATGATGTCCAGCAGACCCAGAATTCTGCAGACAGGGAAGGAGGGGGAGAAAGGGGGGTGGGTTTTGAGACACTCAACAATCTTCTCCGATGACAGGTGGCCGCACAGCATGATGTCCAGCAGACCCAGAATTCTGCAGACGGGGAAGGAGGGGGAGAAAGGGGGGCGGGTTTCGAGACACTCAACAATCTTCTCCGATGACAGGTGGCCGCACAGCATGATGTCCAGCAGACCCAGAATTCTGCAGACAGGGAAGGAGGGGGAGAAAGGGGGGTGGGTTTCGAGACACTCAACAATCTTCTCCGATGACAGGTGGCCGCACAGCATGATGTCCAGCAGACCCAGAATTCTGCAGACGGGGAAGGAGGGGGAGAAAGGGGGGTGGGTTTCGAGACACTCAACAATCTTCTCCGATGACAGGTGGCCGCACAGCATGATTTCCAGCAGACCCAGGATGCTGAAGGAGGGGGGTGTGGTGGGAGATGTCGGGATGCATGCAACCCAACATTAGTGTGATTGTGTTTTTCCCCGTCCGCCGAAACTAGTTAACGCAAGGAAGCTCTTTTCGAGACAAGGCGTTTTCTCTAGATCTACTTTTTCACTTGTTTTTTCATTGTCGATCCTGCTGCTTAAGCTTTCAACAATACTGCTGCCCTTCTTCGCTATGAGTTTGGATGCTTCAGACCCAGGATGCTGAAGGAGGGGGGTGTGGTGGGAGATGTCGGGATGCATGCAACCCAACATTAGTGTGATTGTGTTTTTGTGGTGGGGGGGGGGGGGGGGAGAGAAGCGGGTGACTTTTGAGTCGACTAAAGAGATGTCAGGATGGATGCAACCCAGCATTGTGTGATTGTGTTTGTGTGTTGGGGGGGGAGAGGTGGGGGGGGAGAGAAGCGGGTGGGGGGGAAAGGGGAGTGGGGAGACAGAGGCCCAACCTTGACTTGACTCACCCGTCCATAGGGGTCCTAAGATCGTGGGAGATGTTGGCAAGAAACTGGCTCTTAACCTCCGAGGCAGCCTGCGCTTGTTGAGTCTCCTCCATCTGGCGCTGCAGCTCCTCCTTGGGACGCATGCGGGACAGAAGGGGTCTCCTCACTCACCCAGCCATAGGAGTCCTAAGATCGTGGGAGATGTTGGCAAGAAACTGGCTCTTGACCTCGGAGGCAGCCTGCGCTCTCTGAGTCTCCTCCATCTGGCGCTGCAGCTCCTCCTTGGGGCGCATGCGCGTGTCCACATAGAGCGTCAAGAAGATCACCACGGCCCAGCCGATGAGCAGCAGGCAGAGGGCCACTGCCGTGGTGACAATGACCATGATGCGCTGCTTTGATTCTATTGATGCTGTTATGGACGCACGCGGCATGATGATCGCCAGGTACTGGAAGAGGGAAGGGAGGGGGAGATATGGGCAGGAGAGGGCGTTTGTAAGAGCACCACCAGCAGCAGCGCCACCACCACCACCATCATCAGCAGCAGCACCACCAGCGGCAGCAGCAGCAGCAGTAGCAGCAGCCGCAGCAGCAGCAGCAGCAGCAGCAGCAGCAGCAGCAGCAGCAGCAGCAGCAGCAGCAGCAGCAGCAGCAGCAGCAGCAGCAGCAGCAGCAGCAGCAGCAGCAGCAGCAGCAGCAGCAGCAGCAGCAGCAGCAGCAGCAGCAGCAGCAGCAGCAGCAGCAGCAGCAGCAGCAGCACGCCCGAGCCGATGAGCAGCAGGCAGAGCGGAACGACGGTGGTGACAATGACCATGATGCGCTGCTTTGATTCTATTGATGCTGTTATGGACGCACGCGGCATGATGATCGCCAGGTACTGGAAGAGGGAAGGGAGGGGGAGATATGGGCAGGAGAGGGCGTTTGTAAGAGCACCACCAGCAGCAGCGCCACCACCACCACCATCATCAGCAGCAGCAGCACCAGCGGCAGCAGCAGTAGCAGTAGCAGCAGCCGCAGCAGCAGCAGCAGCACGCCCGAGCCGATGAGCAGCAGGCAGAGCGGAACGACGGTGGTGACAATGACCATGATGCGCTGCTTTGATTCTATTGATGCTGTTATGGACGCACGCGGCATGATGATCGCCAGGTACTGGAAGAGGGAAGGGAGGGGGAGATATGGGCAGGAGAGGGCGTTTGTAAGAGCACCACCACCAGCAGCGCCACCACCACCACCATCATCAGCAGCACCAGCACCAGCGGCAGCAGCAGTAGCAGTAGCAGCAGCCGCAGCAGCAGCAGCAGCAGCAGCACGCCCTAGCCGATGAGCAGCAGGCAGAGAGCAACGACGGTGGTGACGATGACCATGATGCGCTGCTTTGATTCTTTTGATGCTGTTATGGACGCACGTGGCATGATGATTGCCAGGTACTGGAAGAGGGAAGGGAGGGGGAGATATGGGCAGGAGAGGGCGTTTGTAAGCACCACCAGCAGCAGCGCCACCACCACCACCATCACCAGCAGCAGCAGCACCAGCGGCAGCAGCAGTAGCAGTAGCAGTAACAGCAGCAGCACGCCCTAGCCGATGAGCAGCAGGCAGAGCACAACGACGGTGGTGACGATGACCATGATGCGCTGCTTTGACCACATTGATGCTGTTATGGACGCACGCGGCATGATGATCGCCAGGTACTGGAAGAGGGAAGGGAGGGGGAGATATGGGCAGGAGAGGGCGTTTGTAAGAGCACCACCAGCAGCAGCGCCACCACCACCACCATCACCAGCAGCAGCGCCAGCACCACCACCATCACCAGCAGCAGCAGCACCAACGGCAGCAGCAGCAGCAGCAGCAGCACGCCCTAGCCGATGAGCAGCAGGCAGAGCGCGACGGCGGTGGTGACGATGACCATGATGCACTGCTTTGACCATATTGAGGCTGGCGTCCGCGCGCACGAGCACACACACCACTGAACCGAGCCTCACCATGTTGAGGTTGTCGAAGCTGAGAGCCATGGTGCTCACAAAGCACTCCTCCCCGTTCACCATCACACCCCCCACCGAGTAGTTCCCCGCCACCAGCGCCAATACCTCCTCCACAGCCCCGTGTATAGTATAGCTACACATCCAATTGAGGCTCACCATATTGAGGATGTCTGTCAAGCCTCACCATATTGAGAATGTGGAGGCTCACTCACCATATTGAGGTTGTCGAAGCTGAGAGCCATGGTGCTGACAAAACATTCCTCTCCGTTCACCATCACTCCCCCCACCGAGTAATTCCCCGCCACCAGCACCAAGTCAACATCTCCTCCCCAGCCCCCAGCCCTCAACGATTGTGGATCGTATAGATACAAACTAAGCCCAATCGAGGCTCACCATGTTGAGGTTGTCGAAGCTGAGAGCCATGGTGCTCACAAAGCACTCCTCCCCGCTCACCATCACGCCCCCACCGAGTAGTTCCCTGCCACCAGGGCCGGCATCTCCTCCCCAGCCCCTGACCCTTTGGAACCCAGCGTTTGTGTATAGCTACACTACACTGGACCAAGACTCACCATGTTGAGGTTGTCAAAGCTGAGAGCCATGGTGCTCACGAAGCACTCCTCTCCATTCACCATCACACCGCCCACCGAGTAATTCCCCGCCACCAGCGCCGGCAGCCCAAACCGCGCCTCCAGGTACCGCGCTGTGTCGGCAATCACCGCATCCGACACCTGCGTAGCGTTCACCAGCACCGGCATCGCCTGCCCGGCCCCCGGCCCTTCAAAACCCTCCGGCAGCGGCGGCGGTTGCCCCGTTCCCCCAGTTCCCCCAGTTCCCCCCGTTCCCCCCGTCCCTCCTCCCGTTGCATTCCCCGACACCCCCGCCCCTCCTTGGCTCACCCCACCAGGAGGAGATGCATCTACACCAGACCCAGCATTCCCAGAGGGGGTGGCCATGGCGGTGGTGGCGGCGTTGGTGGAGGTGGCAACGAGAAACCCGTCGCTGCTGCAGATGTACATGACGCTGCTGTCTGTGCCTGACAGCCCCAGGTAGCGGTTCACTGTGCCTGTGGACGACCCCAGCATTACTATGCCCGTTATGGCTGGGACAGAGGCGGCGGTAGGGGTGGGAACCGTAGTGGTGCTGGTGGCGGCGGTGGTTGTAGTAGTGGTGGATGTGGAAGAGGGAGAGGAGGTGTTGGAGGGGGCGGAGGAGGTGGAATCGGCCGATACCGCTGCAAGCCTACCTGCCCCGGCACTGGCAGCAGTAGTAGCAGTAGCAGTGGCAGTGGCGGTGGCAGTAGCAGCAGCAGTTGCGGCAGCAGCAGAGGAGACGTGGGCAGGTCGTTGAGAATGCAAATGGAAATGGGGGTGGAAGTGAGTTGCTGGTAGTGATATTAGCTCCCGTGCCACCAACCCATTGCTCTCACGATCCCCATCCCCATCCCCACCCGCAATCGCAACCCCATCCCGGTCCCTATCCCCCCCATTCCCATCCCACTCCCGATTCCCCAGAGCATCGACTCCTTGAACTGTTGCGTCAATCTTCGTAGTCCCTCCAACCCCTCCCAACCCCTCAACTTTCGCACTCCCTCCCCCACTAACTCCCCCACTCCCTCCCCCACTAACTCCCCCACTCCCTTCCACACTCCCCACCACCCCTCTCACCCCTGCTCCCCCACCCACGTCCCACCACTCATCCCCCCCAACATCCTGCCCAATCGCTTTCCTCTGCTCTGCACCCCTGACAGCAACAGACGCGAGTAAGAGCGATCCAGAGAGGTTCTGAACGGCATTGAAGGACCAGAGAAGCAGGCCTGGAGGGCCGCTGGCAACGCTGTCATAGACGGTTGGGGACCCGATGGGCACTGGCGTGAAGTTCTGCGGCGGATGCTGGGGGAGGGCGGATCCGGTGGAGGTGTTAACTGCCTGGATGTACCATCGGCCTGATCTCACAGGTGGGTGGGGAGGGGGTTGGGGTGGGGAAAGGGGAGGGGAATGGGGTGGAGAGAGGGGGGAAAGTGGACGGGGGGAGAGGGGATGGGAGGGACGGATGAGCAGGACGGGTGTAGGGATGGGGAAAGAAGGGAAGGGAGGGAGGGAGGATGGAGAGGTAGAGGCACTGAAGGGCCAGAGAAGCAGGCCTGGGGGCTGCTGGCAACGCTGTCGTAGACGGTTGGGGACCCGATGGGCACTGGCGTGAAGTTCTGCGGGGGCGACTGGGGAAGGGCGGATCTGGTGGAGGTGTTTACTGCCTGGATGTACCATCGGCCTCGTGGCACCGGGCCGGGGGAGCAAGAGGGGGGAGAGGGAAAGAATGAGGTTGGACGGAATGGGATGAGCGGGCAGGGTGGAGGGTGGGGTGGAAAGGGGGAGAGGAATGGTGTGGGGGAGGAGGAGGGGAATGGAGTGGGGGGAGGGGGAGCGGAATGGTGTGGGGGATGGGGAGAGGAATGGGGTGGGGAGGGGGGGAGAGGGGTATGGGTTGGGTTGAGGGGGAGGGGAATGGGATGGGTGGAGGGGGAGGGGAATGGAGTGGGGGGAGGGGGAAGGGAATGGGATGGGGGGAGTGGGGCCGCCAGCAGGGAAGGCGAAAAAAGGAAGGAGTGGGGCCGCCAGCAGGGGGGTGCCGGCAGGGGGGTGCCGGCAGGGGGTCGGGCTGAGAACGACTGAGAGCGGGGGTCGGTTTGAGAATAGGCGAGCAGGTATCCATAGCGAAAGAAGCAGAGCACCTCTTCCAACCACCACACTTCCCTCTCGTACCATACCTGTTCTTCTCACCCACGTGCGCTCCTTGTAGTTGTACCCACCTGCTCTACCAGTGAGGTGTACATGTTTTCATGTACACGCACCTGTGATGTCGGTGAGATTCTTTGTGTAGACCTGAGACATGGTGCTGCCAGGGGACTTTGCTCCGACCCATAAGTCAGCACCTGTCATGTCATCTACGATGTACCCATGTTCACTCACCTGTGATACCAGTTATAAGTCTACACGCACCTGTGATGTCAGTGAGATTCTTAGTGTAGACCTGAGACACGGCGCCGCCAGGGGTGGCTGAGAACGACTGGGTGACAGGGTCGGTTTGAGAGTAGGAGACGAGGCATCCGAAGTGGGAGAAGTAGCCGAGAATTGTGAGGCGCGGGAGGGACGACTGGAAGAATGACCATGCTAGAGGGGCGATCTGCGAGGGAGGGACAAGGAAGAGACAGGGAGAAAGAGCAGGGAAAAGCGAGGGAGGGAGAGAGGTTTGAGGAAGAGAGTGGGAGACGAGGCAGCCGAAGTGGGAGAAGTGGGGAGAGTGAGGCGCGGGAGGGACGACTGGAAGAATGACCACGCTAGAGGGGCGATCTGCGGGGGAGGGGGACAGGGGGTTGGGCAAGAGAGGGAGGGTTGGGCAAGAGAGGGAGGGTTGGGCAAGAGAGGGAGGTTTGGGTTGAGCAAGAGAGTAGGAGACGAGGCAGCCGAAGGGGGAGAAGTAGCCGAGTAGGGTGAGGCGCGGGAGGGAAGACTGGAAGAATGACCATGCTAGAGGGGCGATCTGATGGGGAGGGACAGGAAGAACGAGCAGGCAAATGCAAGGGAAGGAGAGAGGTTTGAGGCAGAGAGTAGGAGAGGAGGCATCCGAAGTGGGAGAAGTAGCGGAGTAGCATGAGGCGCGGGAGGGACGACTGGAAGAATGACCATGCCAGAAGGGCGATCTGCGGGGGAGGGGGACAGGAAGAAGGAGCGAGAGACGGGGAGAAAGAGCAGAGAAAAGAAAAGCAGGGGAGGGAGGGAGAGACGTGTTGGAGAGCGCCAGCAGGGTCTCCCCTCCACCAAGGAGGAGAATGCAAGCAGCAGCAGCACGCAGGAGGCAAAGGCCAGCAGCACCATGTCGCTGCTTCAACGCACTCTCGTCCCTTGCCCGTTGACTCAACACACCTGCTGCTCGCTGCCCCTGCTTCTCTTAACCCTCCTGCTGCTACGCGAATCCGAGTCCCACCACAGACGAGTTGGAGTGTGCCAGCAGGTTCTCTTCTCCACCACAGAAGCAAAGGTGAGCAGCACGACAACACCAGACGTCAGGCTCACACACACACCTGGCCCCTCATCCCACACAGCTACCCTTCATCTCACCTGCTGCGTGCGCGCACCCAAGCCCCACGACAGACGTGTTCGTCTGCGCCAGCAGATTCTCCACCACAGAGGCGAAAACCAGCAGCACGTCGCAGCTTCAACGCACTCTCGTTCCCTGCCCTCCAACCCACTCACTCTCTTCTATGCCCCGTAACGCACCTGCTTCTGCGCATAATTGAGTCCCACGACAGACGTGTTGGTCTGCGCCAGCAGGTTCTCCACCACCGAGGCGAAGGCGAGCAGCACGTCGCGGTCGCGGTTGATGTAGAGCAGGAACTGCTGGTGCACCCGCACCAGGGACTTCTGGCGCAACCTGGATGGGTTCAGTGCGGTGGAGAGTGGTGGAGAGCGTTTAAGTGCAGTGGAGAGCGTTGGAGGGGAGTTCGAGAAGAGGAGGGTTGAATGAGAAGCAGAGGTGAGGCCGAGCAACATGTCCCAGTCGGTTGATGTAGAGCAGGAACTGCTGGTGCACCCGCACCAGGGACTTTTGCCGCAGCCTGCAGGGATTGAGATGAGTTGAGAGCAGTGAGAGGAGGGAGCTGGGGCAAAGAAGGTAATCGGTGAGCATCTGACGATCGAGCATTTTACGAGCTGAGACAAGTCGCCAGATAGCAAGCTCGTTGGCTATTAACAACTCCCAGTCATCTCATCCACGACCACGAGTGCATTGCAGTGCAGTCGTGCAACCAGAACCAGAACTTACTGTGTGGCGATGTCATCGAGGGAGTCGCTGTACATCTTGCCCGCTGCATACCACGTGCTCACACACAGCACCACCGTGACTATAACGAGCAGCGCCTGGGGGAGAACAAGAGGGAGGGTGGGTGGGGGAAAGGGGGAGGGAGGGGAAAGAGGGATAATGGGGGCGGGGAGAAAGAGAGGACGGAATGAAAGAATGGCATGAGGACCATGTTGCTAAGAAGCACACACTCACGTTCTCACTCACTCATACAGCCGACAGAGAGATGGACTATAACGAGGGTGGGGACTGTTTCACATAGTACATACGTACCATCATGGTGAGGCGAGTGATAACAACGGGGGATTTGAGTGAGTCCAATAGGAACCTTCCTCCGCCCTTCCTCATAAGCCATCCATCCCCCTCCCTCCCCCCTTCCTCGTCCGCCTTGCTCCCTCCCCCTCGCCCGTTCTCCTTAGTCGTCCTCCCCCCTTCCTTGCTCTTCTTCCCATGCCGCCATGGTTTCTTCTCCTTCCCGCCACCAGCATTCCCATCGCCCTCTAAAAGCGGCACCGAGAAGCATCCTGCAGCACCGCTCCGAACCGTTTGCCAGGCCTTGCTCCTCCTCCGCCTCCTCTTCCCTTCCACCTCCTCTCCATCCTCCACTCCCTCCCTCTCACCACCCCCACCAGCAGCACCGCCATCATCAGCATCAGCTGCAGCAGCGGCAACAACGTCATCCTCATCATGCTCTGCAAACCCCATTCGGCAGAATCGCCTGGCACTGAGCATTCCCAGGAGGTCCATCACTCTCTCTCGCTTAGACATGTGCGTCAACACAGGCGAATGCGACCCGTTATTCCACAACCCGCTACTCGCACTGTTCCCCTGGCTGCTGCCGCTGCTGCTGGTGTTACTGTAGCTCCGCCCCTGGAATCTCAACTGCTTTGGATTGGAATTATTATGATTGCTGTTCTTGTCGTTTTCTTCTACCCCAAAAGGTGACAGCTCTACTTTGCCGCCTTTCCCTCCACCGTTCACAGGCTCCGTTATAGTCTGCTCCGTTATTTCGTGTAAGCCTTGGCTGCTACCGCTACCGGGCCCACTCCCCGTTCCGCTGCCAGTCCCGAGTTCAGGAATACTCCCTCCAGCACTACCGCTCCCAACCGCACTGCCGGCGCTCCTCGCGAAGCTATTGAAGCCGCTCAAACTGCCGCTGCTAGGGTCCAAACCTGCAGGGTCCGAACCTGAACGTTCCGAGCCTGGAACTGCCCTTTCTGAACCTACGTCTGCTGCTGAACTTGGGCCTAGAGCTTCCGAAGCAGCGTTCCCTGTATGTGACTCCGTTAAAAGGATCCCCATTTTAGCTACGCAGCGTCCCCTGCCTGTGACTGAGGTCTATTGAGTATCCCCATAATCGCACTATAATTGATTAAGTAACAGCAAAGAATTCGCCTCACGCGTATAAAATAACGACATGGTAAGAGGACGATAGGTCACGGATATCAGGACTGCACTTTCGGTCAGTACGGCTTAGATGCGAAACCGGCAACTGAGTAAGTTGCGGTAGACTGCGACTAAACTCAGGCACAATGATACGGTGTGGCTGAGTCAAGGTGCGAGAGGGGAGCGTAAATCACGCCGTGTGTTCGACACGCTAATTAAGAATGGGAATTGCGATAGTCTACGACTGGATTATAGTAGTTCAGAACGGGAACGCGACGGTTTATATCGAGACGGAGAGAAGCTGAGAAAATAAACCTTCCTGCTATTGCATGGAAGCACCGCCGAAGCACTGTGGAGCTGGTTCGTGGAGTTCTAACAAATATACCTATGTGCGGATTGTGACTAGGAACCAACCGTCAATAGCTTAGCATAGGAATTCTCGGATTACGTCAGAAGGTCAAGGATAGTTACGCCATTCATACTTGAAGTCCAAAAGCTTGTTTCTTTGAACGTGCATTCGCTTGTTAACCCTGAATTCACACTTAGCTGAACGTTGAGGCTCACTCACACTCCAAGCAACTCTTGCGCTTCGTAGCAATCAGTAGCAGCCAGCACGGCAAAAATCAACGAAGTAGGAATAGAAATCGCCTAGATGGCTGGTATATTAGGGTTCCGTCTTAGGGCGTATCCCTGGGTGGTGGCAGGGCCACTGTAGATGGCAGGCGGTTTTTGCGGATGCCACGAATCCCTATAACAGCAGGTTGGTGGCACAAAATTGCCAAACATAAGCTGCAAGGCGATTGGTCGAACGAACGTATCGCATGGTTGGGTTGGGTCACACGGTCCAGCCACCACATCGCATATCCCTATCTCCCTCGCAAACTGGGCTCGCACACTCCACGTTCGAGCTCTCACATGCCGGTAAAATTCCCAGCCCACCAACTGCTGCCATTGGTCGGGACAGGACCGTGCATGACCCCTCCTTTCAGGGTCACCCAACTTCAGTGCATCGTCAAGTTTACCAGTTGCCAGTGCCAGGTGTCGAATATCTCAAATGGTAGTAACCGGTTTGACATTTGGAGTGGTATCGCACGCTGGCAGTGATTGGTTGCTTCTTCTCGTGTGCGACCGTCGCACAATTACGAGCCGCGGGCGGTTCGAGCACAATGTTGATGGCATGCGGTTTTCCCGCATGCCACCAACAGTGCCTGCTACAGTGGCCCTGCCACCACCCAGGGATACACCCTTAGTGACAGCAACTGAGAACGTCTGTGTAACGTGCGAATGCGATGTCATGTACACTAGCAGCACGGCAGAATTTTTGTGGTGCTCTACACACATGTGTGACCTTCTCAGCAAGGCGGCAAAAGCAGAGCAGACCATGAGCGGAAGTGGTGGGGTGGATGGAAGTGTGTCTGGGTGTGTGTGACATCAACGCCCGCCATGGTTCCGTCCCGTTTCGTCTGTTGCTGTCTGGTTCGTGATTTCCCCACCTCCCTACTGAAACCAATCACCGCAGCCGAAGCCTATCCTCTAGGGCGTATTGGATCGGAAGGCTTGGGTGTTTTGTTGCATCGAACGGCTGCCGAAGTTGATCAGTTCGGTGCTTCGAAAGGCATGGTTGTCGTCAGCCCTCAACTTACAAAGACATTCGATTCTGTGTTGAGAACTTGTTTGTAGATTTTCATGTGGACAAAGTACACATCCTATCAGACACCTACCGCTACACTTCCTATGTACTGTATCACATGACAAAGGGGGTCCTTCTAGGATCCTGGAAGTCTTTTCGTCCTAACTTTTCTAACCGGAACACTCGCAACTTCGCCTACCAAGGAAGTCCCCTCTCCATCGAAACCCCGAACATGTGGATCGCCCATGTCTTCCCCCAATGCTACGACTCCACCATTCCTCAGCACAGCTTCAGAAGGCCCATGTTGGCCCATCCATGCAACAGACTTTACAGCACCTCCAGACCCAACCCTTGTTGTCACTTGACAACCATCTCCTGTTTCGCAGCCCGTACTAACATCACCAACCGGGCCCTCTCGTCCTCCATCTCCCCATCGTCCCCAATTATCCAAGCACTGGAAACCCCCGAGTTCACAGAAGTCGAATGAGGCGGGGAGAAAAGGCCACGGGAAGGATGAGGATGTGGCATGTGAAAGTCGGTGGGGAGTGGAGAGTGTGTAATGATTTCTGCTCCGGATTGGGTTCCACGTGCATTCCTCTGGCACTCTTCCGCGGGTGTCGAAACTGCCGCGGCTTCCCCAACCCCTTCGCTCAACCCAGGTGCTTCTGCTACTACTGCTTCTGCTTCTGAAGTTGTTGCTGCTGCTCCCAATATCCCTGTTGCTGCTGCTGGTGATGACATTGGTGATGGTGATGGTGACTGGGATGGAACTGCTCCTACAGCTGCTACAGCTGCTACAGCTGTTACCGATGCAACCCCTCCGTTCACAGGCGACAGCTGCGACTTTGCCTTGCTCCGTTGCCTCCTGGCAGGAACAATCAAATCCAGATTATGCAAGGGCCCTGCACCCATGTCGCGGCATGGGCTGTGCCTTTCTGTGATGGAAGAAGAGATCACTGCTGCTCTTACGGCCTGCTTGATGGTTGAAGTTGAAACGCCTGCCGGTTTGAGCGAGGACGCAACTGTGGCTTGGGGAGGAGCGTCTGTGATTGGTTCCGTGGGGGAAACAACCTTCAGATCTGATCCGACAGCTTGACTGGCAAAGCCCTCTCTATAGACTGTACTGGGAGCAGGGACTAATGTGCCTATAACAGGTGCTGCTACTATGCCTGTTGCGGGCATTACTGTGCCTGTGGCGGGTATTGCTGTGCCAATGGCGAGTGCTGCTGCAGAAGATGCATGCATTCTGGCTCTTGAGCTGAGCTGGGCTTGCGTGATTGGCTGTGTCCTAGCAGCTGATGACGTGGCAGAGACGCCAGCTGGTTTCAGTGACCTGGCTGGACTGCCAGCTGACTCAGAACTGAACAGAGAAATATCGACTGAGCTGTGCTGTGCCCGTTGGCTGTTGACTTGCGTTGACTGCATTGACCGAGGTGGTCGCCCTAGGGATGCTATGTATGGGGACACAGTTGCAGAATGATTCACACGCTTCTGCTGCTGCTGTGCCTGTGGATCGTGCTGCTGCTGCTGATGCTGCTGCATCTCATGGTGCTGCTGCTGGAGCTGTGCTAGCGTCAGATCGTCACAATCCTGTGCTTTTCCGCCTATCGTAAACCTTAAAACCTCATTCCACCGTTCACCGCTCCCTCGTAACACTCTCTTCTCATTGCCACTTCGCACTCCTCCCTCACCTGCTCCTGCTGAGATTACATTTTTCGCTTCCCCATCCCATGATCCTAAACCTGCTCCTTCTTCTGCCCTTGCTCCTGCCCCTACCCCTGCCTCAGCTCCAGTCCCAACCCCTGCCCCAGCCCCAGCCCCTGTCCCTGCTCCATTACCAGAGCTCACATCTGCTCTGGCAGCCCTACTCCTGGTCACTCTTGCCTCCCCCTTCGCCTCTTCTGGCTCTCTTGCCTGCCTTCCCTCGTCCACCCCTTCTCCTGCTGCCCCTCTAGCCCTCCCTCTCACCACAATCGACGCCTCCTCCATGCCCCTTCCTCGCTTCCGCCCTATCACATCTTCTTCACTAACTCGCCTTTTCCTCCCCTTTTCTTTCCTCTCCCTTTTCTCCTCCCCCTCTTCTTGCTCCTTTTTGCGAGCATGCGTCTGCTTCTCTTCCTGCCTCTGCTGCTGCCCCTGCTTCTCCCTACTACCAGCATGTAAGAGCGCCCCTTCACCCGCTTCCAACTCCCAAGGATCCCCCATTTGCTCATCATGAATCACCATCTCCCTCTGCTTCCTATGCTCCCGCTGCTTCCTATGCTGCCTCTGCTCCCTCTGCTGCCTTTGTTCCCCTTCAAATGAACTATCACCCCCACCTTCATCCAGCTCAATTCCCACATCAAGGTTTGCACCTTCTTTCCCGTCCCTACCAACTGCAGCCGCTCTAGTGCCGACGTCAGCGCTTCTAAAAAGCTTCTCATCCTCGTTACATTCTGCTTCAAGTACAGTATACCGCTCCTCCTGAAGCTGCTGCTGCCGTCTCTGCTGCTGCCTTCTCCTTGCTGCGGCTGCAGGGGAATCCCCAAGGAGGGAGGGGTCTGGGAGAGTGGACGGGAGAGTGGCGGCAGCAAGAGCAACACCAGCACGAACACCCCCTCCATCTTTCCCCTCTCCTTTCCCACACCTAACCTCCGCCTCACTTGCACTTATCCCCTCAACCCTCTTCTCAACCCTCCCCTTTACCCCCTCAAATCCCCCCTGCGCCTCCTCCCCGCGGCCCTTCCTCCTCCCTTCCCGTTTCCGCCTCGCCCCTATCGCCTGAAGCCCAGACACGTCCACCCCAGGCAGCGCACCTGGCTCTTGAGGCGCCTCAAAAGACGAACCAGGCTCTAATCTCTCCGTTTGATCTGGCTGCTCCTGTAACCCACACTGCGCCTGCCGCTGCTGCTGCTGCTGCCACTCCTGCTGCTGCGGCGACGGCTGCCGCTGAATCTGAATCCCAGGGGCACCAGCGCCTTGTCTTTCCTGCCGAGCTCCTCTCAGTCTCAGAGTGACCACCATCGGCCCACCTTCCTCCGACTTCCTCCTCCTCCCCTCTCCCCTCCTCCTCTCCGCTCCCACGCTTCCTGCTGCATTCGCCGTCTCTTCTGCATTCCCTGATATTGCTGCATTCCCTGATATTGCTGCATTCCCTGATATTGCTGCATTCCCTGCTTCTGCTGCACCCCTTTCTCTCTTCCCAAGCCCACGCGCCTCCTCTTGTCGCTCTCCTCCATCCTCTCCCTCTCTCAGCCGTGCTGCCGCTTCTCTTTCTAGAGGCGCCGTCACCCTCGGTGGCATGGCTCGGGGAGGTGTCAGACGGGGAGGTGTAACCTGGGGAGGTGTAACCCGGGGAGGTGTTACTCGGGGAGGTGTAACCTGGGGAGGCGTTATCCAGTGGGAAGTTACTCGGGGAGGTGTTTCGCTAGGGGGTGTTACTTTCGAAGGACTTTCTGTGGGAGGTGTTTTTTTAGCAAATCTTCCACTGGCCGTTCTTGGTCCAATCACAGTCCTCTTAGGCTTCCGGCCAACCCGTCTCCCTGCTCTCTCACCTTGCTCCGATTCAGCCCTCTGCTGTGCTGGCTGCTGCTGCTGATGCTGACCCTGCTCCTGTTCCTGCTGCTGCTGTTGCTGCTGCTGCTGTATATTTGATACGGAGGGACGTCTCGGTACCGTCTGCTGAGAGCGCCTCGGCACAATCTGCTGGGGCTGAGGGCTGGGAGTCCGAGCAAGGTTGAGAGCGGTTCTCTGGGATGCCAAACGACCCTGCGCAAGAAAAGCGAGGAGAGGAGCAGTAGGGACGAAAAGGGGAGAGGCGAAAACCACGTAAGCCATGGTAATCGATGACATTCTTCACTCGTTGACTTATTTTCGCTCTTGGGTATTCGTCAATCTTTAACATTTTCATGCAAATTGGAAGAATGAAGAAAACGTTAATACTTCACTCTGCTTGATAACTAAATCTATGAAAAGGAGAGCTCCTCTTTCTGGAAAGACTCCTCTTTCTGGAAAGAGAGTGTACCTTCCCGAGGCATTTCTGCAGATGGAAGGCGAATCTTCCGGCTGTTACAGTGTAACCACAGTGGTAACACGCAATGATCTCATTGGGGACGGCCGGGTGTGTCTGGCCAAACACGTCCACTGTCGCCTTAGACGCTCGCTGCATCGCACGCGTCGCACAGGTCGCACGTCGTCTCCGTCAACTAGGATAGCTATCTGCTTCGCTAACAACTTCTCCTTTAACAGATTCTCTGCTTCTGGCTTTCTCGCTGACCTGTCCGCGAGCTCGCCTTCCAGCAGGCGAGAGCTGAACCCTAAAGCGGCCAGTAGCTTAACGTTTGTTGCAATCCCGCCGTGGTTACGCATCGTAAGCAGACAGAAACTGTTACAGATTCTTACTAATTGTGTCAAGCAAAGAAACAATGACGATTGAGAGATGGTCACTGGAACCGGGTGGGTTAACAACTTCCTGGCGACCGAAAAAGCGACATGCTAATGGCGTGACGACGTATAACCGTCGGACTCACACTTGAAAGCCGAAACAGGGACCGGCGGCGATCGAAAAAGGCTAGGACGCGACGTGGAATCTAAAAAGATATGAGAAAGCATTGTCACTAAAGAAGTAAGTTTGTTCCTTCACACCGATATAAGTTTTGGAGGGAAAACACGGATCAGCATTCAACACAAACACAGTCGCACAACTACACCCATGCGACCAAAAAAAAACTCGATGATGAGAATCCGTAGGCGAAGACATGCCTCCACCTCACCAGTCGCAAAGTCGTCACAAGCCACTGACAATCGTCGCTGTTCTTCGCAACATGCTGTGTTTCTCGCAAAACGTCCGAGGCGGAGCCTGATTTAGTTGCGAGGCCAAAGCGTAACGCAGTTACACGACAGATGTTACTCCAGTGGCTACTTTCAAGCCATGAAAGCCTGGTATATTAAGTCTGGCTTAAGCAATAATCAAAATAGTTAACAGGGTTTGTGGTGTACAATATCCATATCTACTCGCTTCCCAAAAAGAACTATACTAATGTCTCTCTTTTGCTCTACGTCATCCTTGCCTCTTTCCGATGACTTACCTAAAACAGAACCACCCATTACTGCATTCTCTACTTCATGGAGCTCATCGCTTCTATCACTCTTTCCAAATATAGCTTCTTGCAAGCATTTGGACGCAAGATCTGCTTCCTTACTTGCGATCGGCTTTGCTTTTGATGGAGAGGAACTTCTCTTCCTAACAGCCCGATTAGAAGGCGCCCCTGAAGACGACCCCTCCTTATTGTGAATCACTTCTGCAGACATGGCGCCACTCCTGCGTTTACCCTTCTTATTTCCCTGTACCTGATCGATGTGGTTTACCACCATCGTCTGAGCCCATGCACTCCTTGGAACGATCACCCGACTTCCGACCAAAACGAATGGCGAGCTGCTGGAAGATAGAATCATGGGCGAGGAATGTGAAGGACGCTCAGTTGATGAGTCCTCAGCAGATGATTCAGCTATGGCAGGCCTGACAGCTGTAGAGCTGGATTTGCGAGATTTAGGCGACGGGTTGGGATGCGAACGGATTGGCGTTGCTGCTGCCGTTGCTGCTGCAGCTACTGTTGCTGTCTCCATCGCTGTTTCTTCAAATGCTGCTGCTGCCTTTGCTGTTGCTCCTGCAGCTGCAGCTGCTGGTCCTGCCGTCGCTACTGCTGCTGCTGCTGTTGCTGCTGGGACAGCGACAGCAGAGGGAATGAACTGTGATTGCCACATGGAAGGCCGGTGCAGGGATGCGGATGCTTTTGCCAGCGAGCCTTTTTTGGGAGATGAGAAGGACTGGATGCGAGGGATGAAAGCGTTGGCAGTGAAATCTGTCGGCAAAGGCGCTCTTGGTGGACTGTTTAGCACCTGGTGGGCGGAAACGCCTTGCATGTCATGATGGGCTGATGGATTAATGGTATGCCCTGCCGCAACACCATGGACACGTCGTGACGCCGGCGTCCCATTGTGGACGTGGTCTGCCGCCCCATCATGTGCATACCCTGCCGCCCCATCATGTGCATACCCTGCCGCCCCATCATGTGCATACCCTGCCGCCCCATCCTCGACGTGCTCTGCCGCTTCGAAAACATGCCGCCCTGGCGCCTCGATTCGCCCAGCGCCCCACCCTATTGGCCCGCGGCTGACCTGTCCTGGCAAGCAAGTCGGCATGTCCATATTTCTCTGTGAAGAACCATTATCACCTTCCAAAGTTATGTGACTGTAACGCGGTGTCTTTGTTGTGCTCCCTGCTGTCCATTCCGCCTCCAGCTTCTCCAGCTGTGACAGTAACGAATCCCTAGCACAGTTTCTCCGTGCCTCCGCCACGTCAGCAGGTGCCAGCGTGGCCGTAACAGGATCAGCGCGGGCAGCGTCAACTCCCATCATCATGACACCTTCCATACCGTCGCCACACGCGGCGACGGCAGAGGAAGCTACAGTAGCATAATCAGATTTCCCTAAAAGTGACGCCGGCCAGCTCGGCGCCATCTGAAAGCTCGGCTGCAGCCTGGTGACGTCATTGTTGGTGGTATCGGCGGTTGTAGCTGTAACAGCAGTCTCTGCAGCACCAGAGTACAGCGTCAGGTCCAGAGCCGCCGCGGCTTGATGGTGTGGAGGCTTCAAAAGATGATTTGTCGTCATTGGATGAGAAAGCGCGAAGTTTCCGCGTGCCTGCTCAGAATCAAGGAGTCCTGGAAGGGTATCTTGCTTGTGGCCCCAGTTTGAGGATGATGAGGCGGCACTGGTCGACCCGCTGGCGCCGCTCATTGTTACTACAGAGCTTCGGAAGTTCGCTGGGCGATCCGCTTGGGATTTACGGATGTCCAGCACTGCTGCAAGAATGTATGGCGACAAACTTCTGACAGTGCGTGCGCGTGACGGTTTTGAAAACGGGCGACAGGGTTTGAAAACTGGAGGTCTTCGCGCGGCGGCGGTAAAACTACTAACTTGAAAGTTGCACCCAGCTTATTACTATAGTACGAGTTTTGGAACCAGCAAAATCGACACTGGGCGAAGGTACTAGTTAAATATTTGGGGAGCCTCGTCAGTCTGTACAAACATAGTATCATGTTTCAAGAAACACTACTAAAGAAAGAAACGCCAAGCTCACGATTGCCCTTTCAAAGCTGAGGGGTCAATATCAATTTGTGGTGAGAGCGATCTCCTCAGCAGCCTGCTGAGGAGCCATCAGTACATGAAGTGGTTTTGAAAGCTGCTGAAGGGAGGATAGGCTTTGAATTGAAAGCCTTCGCCTGTGCCCCATGAAATTCTCTCCCATCTGCCCAATCCATTACACACTATGCTCAACCTTATCTTGTGCTCTAAACAACTTCCGGACACCGTATCCCTAGTGCGGTCGAACACGGGCAACGGCCCATCGTCCAGTCCCTTTCTTTGATTCTCTTTGTATTGGATTACGATCTAATATAACATTCTAACATTCCAGTCTCTTCCTTTGATCTCAGCCGTTAATTGGACAACTGATCACGCTGTTCTCCGTCCGTACTTCATATATTTTGAAATTGTTACCGCGCGAGGCAGGTTTCATTTTTGCTTGGTGACGGGGCAGGCAAAAAACCTGTATTTGCTTCAGTCTATTGATATGGCACTGATGGCAAGTCTAACGTGCACTGCTAAGTGGGAGGATTTTGGACATATACTGTAGTCCCAGAAGAATGGAGGAGAGAGAGATTCTTTCTCTACGAACCACAAAAAAAAAAAAAAAAAAAACGAGGATGATTTTGTGTGGGTGAAGCAAAATTTTCGAGTCAGTAGGCAGGAACGGACCAAAAAAAATATCCGTTCGAGTCTGCTTTGATCGGGTGTTCCGGATTTGAGTCTGGTTTGTTGTGAGTGGATTCTGGGGATTGTGTAGGAAAATATGGTAGGGAAAATCGGGTCTCAGCTCTTGAAACGTTCTGAGATTCTACGACAGGACCACCACTCAGGAAATGAGCTGAGGCAGTGGAGGCGAGAATGCTGCTGGCGAGCATGTTGATGCACAGTGTTCTATGTACGCTTCCTCCTCGCGTACAGAGATCTCATTCTGTAGATAATCCGAAAAGGGTGGCAAGTGGGTAGGTGGGTGTCTTACGTTGTGAGGTCGCGCTGATTAGATGCGACAGCTGGCAACAGGTTCTCAGCTTGCAATGGCGGCTTCCACCAGAAAACAAATGCAACAACATCGCGAACTGTACACGAGAAAAACGGTGCACGCGTGCCTGCTCCCAGGAATCCTGCTCGAGGTTTCCTTTGGCAGTGACCTGACCAAA